CGCACACACACGCACATGTACACACACGCACACGCACATGTACACACACACACACGCACACACACGCACATGTACACACACGCACACGCACATGTACACACACACACACGCACACACACGCACATGCACATGTACACACACGCACATGTACACACACGCGCACACACACACACACACAGGCAGATGGTCTGCAGTGCCCTCCTGTCCTCTGCTCTCTGCCGTCTATCTCCTTTGTCTTTTCACAGGTGGGTGAAGTTTGAGGAGAAGGTGGAAGAGGGCGGGGAGCGGTGGAGCAAGCCACACGTGTCCACACTGTCCCTGCATAGCCTGTTTGAGCTGCGTACCTGTCTGCAGACCGGCACCATCTTGCTCGACCTTGAGGGCTACTGCCTGCCCCAGATCGTGGGTGGGTCTCGCCTATGTGGTTTTGGGTCAGTGGGAGGGAGAGAGAATGTGTGGTGGTTCTATGCTTTCTGCCAGGGCCCTGTGGCTATCACAGGGCACGCACCTACTGACTGCCGGTGTGCCATACAGATGACATTATCGAGCGGCAGATAGAGGAGGGCCTGCTAGGGGTCGAGCTGAGGGACAGGATCGCCTTCGTCCTGCTGAGGAGGCACCGGCATCAGACCAAAAAGCCCATTCACCGCTCGCTGGCCGACATCGGGAAGACAAGCTCCACTGGTGAGCCGCTGCCCTCTGCTCACTGCTGCCCCAACTGGCTCAAGTGTTAACAGTCATTGGGTTGGCAGATACCTGTGCACTGTGAGCTGTGTTACATAACCGTTCTGCGTTCTAACTTCCTGTTCCCATCATCCACTGCGCTGGCGAAGGCCGCAGTCCAAGTCGAAGCCCTGGTGCAGCTCCAGGCTTCAATTGCTCCACGGAGGACCTGCAACTGAAGCAGACAGGGAGCTACGGCCGTCTGCGTGAGCGTCACTCTCTGTCCCGTTACTCTCCACCCCATCTCCTCTGATTCACGTCAAACTGTTAAGGGACGGGTAACACCTCACGTTCCTCCTTCTGTTAGATAGCATCTCTCTCTGGGACATTGTTGTGTCTCTCCACTGAGTGGTTTCTTCTTCGTAGCTGAAGTGACCTTTAGTTTCTTTCATTTTTTGTCATTGTCATTTGTCATTTTCTGGATTTTCTGCCAAGTTTGTTCACTTTTACTCAAGCTGACATCTGTCCAGCTTTTCTCCTTTGAAAGCTTGGTGTGGTTCCCAGCAGAGCATGAACCCGGTAGGTAGCCGTGTTGTTGTATTTCAGGACACACCCAGAGTCGCAGCATGAATGACATCTCAGACACGCCTAGCACAGACCAGGTAAGTCGACCCAGGCTAGACACACTCGGGACAGACACACTCGGGACTGACATACTCGGGACAGACACACTCGGGACAGACACGTCCCACCTGTCGGTGTCTGACTAACCGCTAAGCCTTTAGGTCATCATGGGAGCAGTGAGGCTCTGGATTACTGCTTTAACCCACTTGTTGCTGGTTCTGGTTGGTTTACACCCAGCAGTGCCTGGCTATACTCAGCAGGCACTCCCTCTGAGGGGTTCAGCCCTCACCGTTGCCTTTACCCACCTTCCAATGTGCTCAGCACCACAACATTCTGTGTTTCTCAAAGGAATTCAGAAGGATGTAGAAGGAGGATGTGGGGGTGACTAAAATGTGGTCCTTGAACAGTTTAGCTGCTTTGTGAGCCAACTGACAAAGTGACCAATTTAAAACTGATCAGCAGAATCAAATCAAGATGAGCTTCTTTAATGAATTCTGTGACTTGTGACACAAAGTGAGACTGTTAATGTAGCTCTGTGCGGTTCTCAGACTGCCAAAGGCGACCCATCGTGGCTGGCATACGTGGAGATGAAGCAGCGGGGGATGGGAATCAGGCTGCAGGCCATATGATTTCCTCTTCATGCCTGCTCCTCTCTGTCATCTATTAAAGTAGCTCATAGGCAATTTGCTGTTTCCATTGTGTACATAATTTCAAGAACATTGGCCTCGGTTATTACGTTTTGTGCCTTTAAACATCTGTTCAAACATGCTTTCCTAGCGTTAATTCGGTTTATTGGATGGGCTCTTTCTAGTTAAATGCAGCGGAAATGGAAAAGGCAGATGTACAGACTCTTTCCCTCACCTTCTCTCCACCTTTCCCTGCCTCCGCCTCACCCTCACCAGCTGAAAAACAAGTTCATGAAGAAGATCCCTCGAGATGCAGAGGCTTCCAACGTCCTGGTGGGGGAGGTGGACTTCCTGGAGAAGCCCTTTGTTGCCTTTGTGCGTCTGGCTCAGGCCACCACACTGGGAGGTTTGACTGAGGTCCCCGTGCCAACTAGGTGAGGCATGTCTTCCTGCCCGTGTGGCACTTTTCACACATGTCTCATCATCCCTGAACTCTGTTTGCTGCAGGTTCCTATTTATCCTGCTGGGTCCTCCTGGCAAATCTAAGTCCTACAATGAAATCGGCCGTGCCATTGCCACTCTCATGGTGGATGACGTGAGTTGCCCTTGTGGACCTCTGTGGACCTTTTTTCTGTCACTGTGTTGCTTAGCGGTCTCCTGCCTCAGCTTTTCAGCAGAGTGGCCTACAAGGCCAGGGACCGGGAGGACCTTATCGCTGGCATTGATGAGTTCCTCGATGAGGTTATCGTGCTTCCACCAGGAGAGTGGGACCCCAAAATCCGCATTGAACCCCCCAAGAAGGTACCTTCTGCAGAAAAGAGGTATGAAAGAATGTCTGGTCATCTAAGGACTGACTGTGAAGATTAGAACCACTTTCCCCACTGCTGTAATCACTCATCTTCAACCCTTGTTCTGCAGGAAGTCTGTCTACTCTTTAAACGAGCTGGGGCAGATTAACGGGACTGCAGGAGAGAGCGGGGGCGTGAGTGAGGATGAGGAGATGCCTACTGCACATGAAGTAGGAGAGGAGCTGGTGTTCACAGGAAGGTGGGAGCTCAACTGGAACTGGGGCTAAATGTGGAGACAGATTCTGTTGCAGCATTATGAAAGGCCACACCTCTTTTCAGGAAGTGATGTAAGATGCAGAGAGAGGACACCTTGTCACATGATGCGCAATGCTCTGTGTTTCAGGTTCTGTGGTGGTCTGCTCCTGGATATCAAGCGAAAGCTGCCCTGGCTTCCCAGCGACTTCTATGAGGGCTTCCACATCCAGTCCATCTCTGCTGTGCTCTTCATCTACTTGGGCTGCATCACCAACGCCATCACCTTTGGCGGGCTGCTAGGTGATGCCACTGACAACTACCAGGTTGGTCCACTCCAGTCTAATGGTACTAACTTCTAACAGGCATGACAGGTAAACATGGATTCATCATGATGGCATTATCAGGAATAGAATTATCAAGCCTCGATTGTATATGGAAGAATGTGTTATTCTAAAGTAGGACATTTTCATTTTCCCTGTCTGGTTCTCCCTCTCAGGGAGTGATGGAGAGCTTCCTTGGGACATCCCTGGCAGGTACTGTGTTCTGCCTCTTTGGAGGGCAGCCACTCATCATCCTCAGCTCCACGGGGCCAATTCTGATCTTTGAGAAGCTCCTCTTCGATTTTAGCAAGTGAGTTCTCAGGACAGGGGATCTTAGCCACACTGAAATCTGCAACTATACAAAAACAATCACAGAACCAGGCAGAAACAGTCAAAACCAAATCTATTAGTTTTGTGCAGGGTTTCCCAATCCATTCCTCGAGGACCCACAGAGGGAGCAAAAATGCGAACTATCTGGCAGGGAGTTTGGAGGGAGCAAAAACATGGACTGTCTTTGGGTCCCTGAGGACCGGATTGGGAAACACTGGTCTTGTCTATACTGTCACATTCTCCACTTATATTTCCACATAATGACACCCGCCTCTCTCAGGAGCAACAGCATTGACTACATGGAGCTGCGTCTATGGATTGGACTTCACTCGTGTCTCCAGTGCTTTCTGCTGGTCGCTACGGACGCCAGCTACATCATCAAGTACGTCACCCGCTTCACAGAGGAAGGGTTCTCCAGCCTCATCTCCTTCATCTTCATCTCAGATGCCATCAAGAAGATGATGGACTCTTTCAGCTATTACCCCATCAACATGGACTTCGAGCCTGATCTCATCACCATGTACAGGTGCGAGTGCATGGCCCCTAACCAAGGTGAGCTCATCTGACAAAGCCTAGGACAGAAGATAGTGAGGCCATCGCTCAACTTCCTATTTAACTGAGACTGGTGGTGGGTGGCAGCTGTTAAGTGATTGGTCAGAACATCTGCAGGCTGATTAGGATAATGTGGTTGTAAGGGTACAGGGTTGTGGTGAGGTTTGGCCAGCATCTCCCTATATCAGGTAAGGAGGACCTGCCTGACTTTTTCCTGTAGAACACATACTTTATACTTATCTTCCTGTCTGAAGTCCATGCTAGAAGCCCATACATGATTAATTCAACTCAGGGAGTGTCTGTTCTTTTATTTGATTATTGTAACTGATTTGTATTGTGTTTGTTTTTGCCCGACAAATACCAATGGCCTGCTGACTGGTCCAAGTGAGTACCCATTCCTGAATGAGCTTCATTCATTCATACCGATGCATTTCTTAGAAATAATGGCCTGATGTGAACATTTTCTCCATTCCTGTGTCTGCAGTGGTTCCAATCATTTTCAATGTCTCAGCTCTGCTAGTGCCAGAAAACACCACTGACCTATCTGTGGTAAGTGCCTCCTGTACCATGTTCGGGACAGTTCCCTAACTGGGATGCAAATAGCTGGCAAACTTTGTATTAAGGAATTGTGATGTCATCATTACCAATATTTATTGGTGACACCTTGTGTAGCAGACAAACAACTCTTGTTAAAAGCATCATTTGAAGTTCCATATGTTGACCTCTCTAGGATCTGGATTGATGTTTCCTACCTCATTCTCAGCTATGCTCTATCCTCCCATTCTCTCTCCCCTCGTTCACCTTCTCTTTTTCTCACTGGTCCCTCTTCTAACTAACTTCAACCTTCATCTCTACCATTGTGCCACCCTGTCCCTGGTGCGCGATGCCAGCTCAATGTGACAGCCCTGGACTGGAGCCAGCTCAGTAAGGTGGAGTGTCTGAAGTACGGGGGCTCTCTGACGGGCAGCTCCTGCGAGTTTGTCCCTGACCTGACACTCATGTCCTTCATCCTCTTCTTTGGCACCTACTCCATGACGGTCTCACTCAAGAAATTCAAGTTTAGCCGCTACTTCCCCACAAAGGTGATTTCAGAGGAGGGGGGACAGGAAGTGACAGGTAATAGAGTCTGAGTTAGAAAGAGGAGAGCTGGAAGTATCAGGACTGGGATTAGAAATTGACATCCTGCTAAACAAACTGTAAGTCAGCTGAACTGAAAGAAGGGTTGACAGGGAATTAGGGTGGTTGACTCCTCAATATGGTGTCCCCTGTGTGGGCGGCTTTTAGCATATAAACAGCATACAAACTTAGGTCTTGTGAAATTCTACAGGGCCTATATGTTCACCTGCAGTATCAGAAGTACAAATGAGAAACAGCTCAGCACAATTAACAGTCAGAGCATGATTTACAGGTGAGGTTATGTATAGAATATACAGTACGCTAATGATCATTCAGGTTTTATTAACAATACTCTAAATTAACGATTCTGCTCATACCTGGATAACATCTGTTTTTAAACTCTTTCATGCACTAAATGGTCAAAAGTATGTGGACACCCTTATTAATTAGTGGAATTGCCTAATTAAGCCAAACCCAATGCTGACACAGGTGTATAATTAAGCACACAGTCACACTGCATCCTACAACAAAATTTAGCAGCAGAATAGGTGGTTGTACAGAATAGGTAAATGACATTACACCATCACAGAAAACCAAATTTCCAACAAGTCATTTTACCATATTTCGGCCCCTGCCGGTGGTATCCTGGTCAACCACAAGTGATCGTGAAGGTCAAAATATCTGGGAGCAAGTTCTGATGTGGCAGCCACACAAGCTACCAGAAAGGGACCCAATGACCCAGTATTAATAACCAACCTGAATGGCAGCAAATCCCACATTAATGTTCCAACATCTATTGAAAAACCTTCCCAGAAAAGTAGACTATTTTAGTAACAATGGGTCAACCAACTTCTTCCTAATACCTTGCGTTTCTGAATGAGATGCTGCAAAAGCTGGTATCCACATTCTTTTGGCCGTATAGCGTAGCTGTGTGCTAAACCTAACCTCATCCTACTAACCCTCAGTGTGCCTCTAATCTGTCATTGTTTCAGCTCCGGAAGCTCATCAGCGACTTTGCCATCTTCTTGTCAATCCTGACATTTGTGGCTCTTGATATGTTCATCGGGCTGAAGACCCCGAAGCTCATTGTTCCGACGGAGTTTAAGGTCCGCTGTCGGCCAGTCCTTGCTCATCTAATGACACATCTCCAACCACTGCTGATGTTCGGGCTTCTTTGCAATGTTCCCATAGCCGACTCGCCCTGATCGTGGCTGGATGGTGATGTCGTTTGGGAAGAACCCTTGGTGGATGTACCTGGCCAGCTTCATCCCTGCCCTTCTGGTCACCATCCTCATCTTCATGGACCAGCAGATCACTGCTGTCATAGTCAACCGCAAAGAGAACAAGTTAAAGGTGGAGGACCTCACCTGTTTGTGTGGTGTTATCGACACTCCATTTTCATAGTGAAGAGCATAATTGTGCCATTTAAAGCTCAGTGAATCTCTACTTGCCACACAGTGCAGCATCTCTCTGGCTTTGTGTGCAGAAAGGCTGCGGGTACCACCTGGACCTCTTCTGGGTGGGCGTCCTCATGGCCGCCTGCTCCCTCATGGGGCTCCCGTGGTACGTGGCTGCCACCGTCATCTCCATTGCCCACATCGACTCGCTCAAGATGGAGAGCGAGTGCAGTGCCCCCGGCGAGCAGCCGCAGTTCCTGGGAGTGCGGTGAGCAGGTGTGGGGCCCATGCAGCCAGGTGTGGGAAAGGGGGGCGTTATAGATGAGTTTCTGACCCGCCTCGTGTGGAATACCCAGGGAACAGAGGGTGACAGGGATCCTGGTGTTTGTCCTGACTGGAGTCTCCATCTTCCTTGCCCCCATACTGCAGGTGAGGACAGAGTGACAGGAATAAAAAACGTGAAATAATCAGTGATGGTGGTTGATCCCGCTGAGGGAAGCGTGTTATAGTGAAGGAATCTCCCATGTTTCTGCAGTTCATTCCCATGCCTGTGCTCTATGGGGTTTTCCTCTACATGGGCGTGGCTTCTCTCAGTGGCATCCAGGTGTGTCTATCTTTGCACTTCCCCCAATGATGTCACATCCACTATACAAGGGCCATGGGCCATCTGTCTCAATCTGGAGTGAATTTACACCCAAAAGACAACTTAAAAGTGTCACTTAAGCTGAATGTGGTGGCGGAATGTGCCAGAGAACATAATCACTGCTTAGGGGTGTGTGATGTGGGGCTGTCCAGAGCATGACGTGTCCCCTTCTGTCTCCACAGTTCTGGGACAGGATTAAGCTCTTCCTGATGCCATCCAAGCACCAGCCCGACTTGTCGTTCCTGCGTCACGTCCCCCTGCGCCGAGTCCACCTCTTCACCCTGGTGCAAATCATCTGCCTGTCTGTGCTCTGGATTCTGAAGTCCACAGCACTGGCCATCATCTTCCCAGTCATGGTATGAACATGAAAAACTCAAAGCTTCAGTTTCGTCTGTCCCTGTTCCACAGCAGCGCTGATGCTTGTACGTGGAAGTATAACCATCTAACCCGCTGGCAGATCCTGGGCCTAATGGTGGTGAGGAAGATGCTGGACATGGTGTTTGCTCAGCACGACCTGGCCTGGCTGGATGACTTGCTGCCCGAGAAGGAGAAGAAGGCAGTGGATGAGAAGAAGAACGAGAGGAGCAAGAAGAAAGTCAGAGGAGGGGAGGACGGAGACGATGAGGTGAGAGACAAGATAGCATGGCCACACGAAGTGTCCAGGCTGTGCAGAGAGCAGCTGGGCAGCTTCCCTGAAGGTCGGCCACGTCCCGTCACATGGACATGAAAGCTCTCAGGAGGAAGGTTTTACTGTCAAAGGAAACAAAACTGAAACAAAAAAACAAAACAGAAAAAGGCAGTCCCACCACCTACCATCCATGTTGACTGTCTGAAGCCATTCGGCCCCCAAGTTTTTCGGTTTGCTTTCAGGTTGCTTTAGTTTTATTTCAAATAATTTATTATCGTATGAGCAGTAGACAATGAAATTCTGACTGTGCTCCAGATGCTGCAAAAAAAAGCACCAGAAAATAGAAAGCAAATGCACAGTAGATAGCATATAAACATATACAGACGCTCCTCTACTTACGAATGAGATACGTTCCGAACGGCCGTTCGTAACTTGAAATGTTCGTAAGTCGTTATTCAACATCATTTTAAGGGTATACGTAAGTACAAAGAACTAGGATGCTGGGAGTATGCACGCTATGTTGCTGCGCGGCGGGAGTAGTGGCCAGAAGTCGTACTACCTGGAATTAGCGTGCAGAAAAAAAAATGTTTGCGGAAGGGAAACGGGAGCCCAATGAACACAGTTTGGACTTACAGTCCTCTTCGTTTGTATGTCTGAAGGTTCGTAGGTTGAAAGCTTGTAAGTAGAGGAGCGTCTGTATACATTGACCATAGATCAAAGAGTATTAAAGTGAATGAAAAGATAAAAATAGTTTCCGATGTGAAATATATACACAAACATAAATATAGATAAAATACATACATATAAATATATGGGAACAGAGATGTGCAGCGTAAAGTGGCTGGTGCCTCCCCCTGATGGTTCAGCATCCTGGTCTTCTGTGAGATCTTTGCTGTAACTTTACAGCTATTGAAGGTTCATGATCTTTAATATTTTACATATACAGTACCAGTCAAAAGTTTAGACACACCTCCATAGAAGGGTTAACATGTACTATTCTCTACATTTTAGAATAATTATAAAGACATCAAAACTATAAAATAACATATATGGAATTATACACTGGCCAAAAAAATAGCAGTGTAGGACCAGTCTAGGACCAGTGGGGCTCTGTAGGTTGAGACTTAGAAGGTTGTCAGTTCAAATCCCTGGTTCCGCAGAATAATGCCACCATTAGGCCCTTGATCAAGGCCCTTAACCCCAGTAGCTCAAGGGACTGGTTGACCCTGCCATCTCCTCTGCGCCAGTTTCATGAGGTGGCCTCCTGGGATGTTTTTGGAAGTGACATGTGCTCAGTGTCTAAGCCTCTGTGTCTGTGATCGGAAGGTCTTCAGTTTGAGCATGGCCTCGGCAGAATAGTCACATCCATGGGCCCCAGCTTGCCCTTCACTGCCAAGCTCGCTCTCACCTACATGTGTGTCTGTGTGTCATGGAGAGCAAGATGGAGTAGGCGAGAAGTGAATTTCCCCACAGGGGATCAATAAAGGTATCGCCACTATTATTACTTTCCAGCTGCCCTGGGGAGTTTCCACATATGCTGCGCACTCATTGGCCACTTTCCTTCACTTTTAGGTCAAACTCCTCCAAAACCATGTCTACTGTGATTAGGTCAGGTGGCCAGATCATGTGATGTGACACTATCACTCTGCTTTGTAGGCAGCTTGGCAAGTCCACTGTTTTGACTGGTTCTGTGTGAGCGGGCATGTCTGCCTCGCCGTCTCGGCTGCACGTTCATTCCTCCCTTGTGAGCTTTAAGCTCTGTGTGGCCTTTAAGCACTTTTAACTGTTATTTTCAGAAAATATGACCCAAGGGGCCGAAAGCACCTCTTCTCCGTCTTAAGTTGTGTTTCTTCATTCATTCTGTATTGCCGCCTTCTCCTTTTCCTCTCATCCCCTCCTCTCTTCTTTTCCCGTCTCTCACATCTCCCATCTTTCCGTTTGACGTTGTCTCTCTGCACAGGAGAAGTACCACACCTACTCTAACTGCTCTCCTGCTGCATCCGACCTGGACCGCAGGTACTGTGCTGTTCCACTGTAACTGTACATTAACCCCCCCCCCCACTACATTAGTGAATCACTGAGGTGTTTCATTCACCATTATGTGTTTCAATCGAATCTCCATAGAGCGGCACGCCAAAGGTCTTTCCTCCCCACCCCTCGAACCCTCTGGTTTGCTGTCAATCCATCTCTGCTGAATCTCCCCATCAATTTCCGCTCATGTTTCCCAGCATCACTCTGCACCTGAGGATCTCCTGTCCGCCTTCCCCCGCCGCGCCCTTCGCCCGAGGAGTAGGCTGCACCGTGCCACAGGTCAAGATAGAGATGGAGTCCGACTACGAGGACAGTGAGCACCGACACAGAGACATGAGCAGTGAAACCACACTGTAAGGCCACCCTCAGAACGTACACACTCACCATCCAGGACCACTGTGACCGGACATGCTGCACTGAATAATCAGTCTCATATCTGTTTCCATTCTACCACTGACCAAATCATCATCTTCCTTCTGTCATTTTCAGTTGGCCACTTCCAAACTGTGTCAGCCAGCTAGGTGAGAAAGCTTTTTTAGACTATATAGACGCTCCCTGGGTTACATTCTGATAAACCTAATGTAAGGTGAAAATATCATGAGGTGAAAATGCATTTAATACAGCACACCTAACAAACATGCTTAGCCTACCGTTGGGCAAAATCGTTAACGCAAAGCCTGTTTCATAATAAAGTGTTGAATATTTAATGTAATTTATTTAATAATCATACCCATCGTAAAGTCAAAATATCATAACATGGACCCTCGTAATCCGGGGAGCATCTGTACACGTTTCTTGCACATCCTTGCCCAAACATGTAGCTGGTCATTCATTCACTGCAGAGACAGTAGTTTACCACAGGGTGGCGCTCTGTGGTCTGCAGCACTCACTACCTTGGGATTGCTGTGAAAACATACTTTTGTGCATATATGGCTTTCATGAACGTGTCTGGGGGACACCATCAAAAACACGGGTATATTTACCGCACTTGGGTCCCCACGTATTCTATACTTGAAGTAAAACAACAGCCAGAGTATTTTCTGACTTTAGTTTTGTATGTTTATGCCTGATTACTTCTGGATGGTTTTGTTTGGTTTTGATTAGGGGCTGAAAATGAACTGGAACTTCACCCTGTTAGATGCAAATAAAAACATTGTATGGGTAAAATTTGTCCTTTTAATGTTTTGATAAAGCATATCTAACAAATGAAATCCACCGATTTAAAAAAATACAATTTTTCTTTTCCACTAATCACGTTTCTGGAATTCAGATTAAAAAAATCATACAGCTACCAATTCTTAGGTATACATGCAGCTTACATTATTTGGAATTTAGAAACTGACCAATTTTCAGCTGGATGGGTTACAATAACGCAGATACCCTTTGACCGGTGCTGTAATCTAGCACTCTGACAAAGTTCTGTATTCGACTTGGCCCAGCAGCGCGAGTCTGCGTTTAACAGGAAAGGTGTAAAATAACAGGCTAATGTAAAAGACAGGAGGCTGTGTGAGTGTCAGGCCCCGGAGGCGCCCGGGTGAAGCCATCCCCGAAGCCGCGGGTCTCCTCGAGGCGGGGAGGCTGGTTGCACATGGGACACAGCCTGTTACGCTGCTCTGACGCCCGCAGCCACACGATGAGGTTCCAACGCTCCCCAGAGGAGATCCGCAAGGCCCCGTGCATCTGCTGTCCGCGGTGTAGCAGGCCGCTGGCCACGCGGTGCTCCACCTCCGCGCACTCCGACTCACTCAGAGGGACCTGCAGGGGGCGCCCTCGTTACACAGGAACACCACTGGGATCATTTCCAGCACCAGAATGCTCAGCTGCAGTTAATTAACCAGCAGATTATACCGGGGAAAACGTTATTTTGCAGCATCGTGACGATATGGGTTCATATAAATTACATCTAATAAGCAGCTGCAGGATAACAGCTGGAAGTGTGATGGGGGTCAGCTCTCAGCGTGAACCCTGACTGGTGGGAAAGGGGACGAGATCATCACCCACCTGCCTCATATCGCCAAAATACAGGTTTCCGTCGGTGAACTCTTTCCCAAGACATACGTTCAGGGTCACCTCAGCGTTGTCATAGTGATAGTCGAGGTCCAGATCCTGGCCCATGGCGTATTTCACTACGAAAGCCTTGTGGCTGTCCAGAGAGCGCCCGCCGCAGTCCGGATACAGCAGCTGTGTGATGGGCTGGAGGTAGCGTTCACGGAGGGGGGTGATGAACCCTTCATCGAACCTGAGCTCGTTCAAGAGGATCTGAAAATACACACGGCCATGAGATGATGTCCCCGGGCACAGTCAACGGGGCCGTTTCCACGGTGACCCGCATCCTCACCCCATAATTGTTCATAGTGTTGGGCCTCCCCTTTGGGGCCTCAGAGCGCTCAAAGTTCTCCAGCTCCTCAATCAGCATCCTGCAGAATTCCTTTCGGAAAACCGGGAAGCGATACACTCTCTGGGCTCAATGACAGAAAAGGTACACGCTGAAGAGGTGTCCGATCGTGTTCTGGCCAATCAGACAGGCCGCATCACACGGACTCACCTGCTAATGGCTCCATGTGGTCTAACAAGCCCCTGCAGGTAGCTCCTTCTGAACAAGCGTAACTCACTAGCTGCAGAAACTCAGGGGCCAGGAAGGACTCCTTAACAGAAAGCGATGTATGAGAGTTAAGAGGGGATTCCCAGATTCTTTAGAGCACCTGCAGGTTGTCTCATGTACGTCACCTGTAAGCAGTACACCTCCCCATGGACGGCTCTGTAAACACTGCTTATAAGGGCCGTTCTCTCTGCAGATTTCTCACACAGGTTCCTGCGCCTGTCCACTTCAGATTCAACCTAAGGGGCAGCGATCGATGAATCAGCTCAGAAAAGAGCAAATCTAAATTCGAGGGGGGGGGGGGGTGTTAAACAGCAAACCAGGCCAGACCTTCTGAAGGACAGCATGGAGATCACCATCAGTCACACAGCCACAACTCCTCAGCACCTGGAAAACAGCAACAGGGACAGGGTAAATGGACATTGTCAGTAACTTACCCTGGACCCGTGCATGACACCGTCTGCCAGTAAGTGTACTGGCGGTGCAGCACACTCACATCCCGATAGTCTTTGAGGAATTGCTCCTTGGAGGTAAACCGGACGTGAAGCTTGTATTCCTCCAGGAAGATGTTGTGCGTATAGAAACAGCTGCAGCTGTAAAACTCCATGGTCTTCTAATAGCTGATCATTTAACACGGCGGTGTCGGTCCGCTCACTGCTCCATTTGACGACGTCTGTAAGGTCAGATAAACAGATAACTCCGAGTTCAGGGTTTCGCTTCCCTACCCGGTTCAGTAGAGTGACCGAGCCAGTCGGTTCAGCCGGTCATCTCAATCGAAGCGCTGATTCAACACACATAAATACAGGCAGGGATTGCTTCGGGTTTCCGATTCGGTTTACCTAATTTCAAATTTGGTGTAGGTTTCGGTTTCAGGTTGAATTTAGGGTAACTTCCCCGGACTCGTTACGCTCCTTCGGGCAAATACGCTGCTGTGATACCGAAGCGGCGTCCTGGTAACGCGGTTTGGGTGCCTGTCTGAACCGGGTCAGCGCATTACCGGAGCTGCGATCGCACACAGCCGGTCCAGGAGCGCCTCGGCTTTACCCTCCGGTACTTCCTGCTCTGTAGGAGACCTTCCGGGTCCCGCAACACAGTCCCTTTCCGCTCCATGTAACCCCGTTTCCCGGCCGGTGATACTGCTGGTTCGGGATCCCCATGTTTTGGACCGGGGGCTGCAGCCGCGCCGCTCGTAGCCCCAAATGTTCAGCATGGACTCTCTGCAGGTGGCCGAGGAGGAGGTAGTGGAGTCGACGTCCAGCCGTCTAGAGGACATTCACACCTTTCTAGCGGAGGGCTGCTACCCGCAGAACATGAACCCCATGCGGAGGAAGAACCTAAAGCGATACGCGGTGAAGTTCGTGATGGAAGGTATGCGCGGTGCTCACGGCGTCTACGGGCTGCAGACATGGCAGAATCGGGCGGGTTACCCACGCCTGTGAGTGCTAAGCATATGCCGGACCCCCGAATTAATGCATCTGCGACATGCACAGATGGGCGCTTATCTGTAGGCATGTTTGTTATTGTGCAGTGTGCTGTCTGAGATGGATGGGGATCCGTAACTTCCAGCCCCAACACTTCCAGTCGTGTCTCCGCAGAGGAGTGCCTCTACTACGTGGGGCCGAAGAAGGACGAGAAGAGGGAGGTGGTGATCGACGCTGATCGCAAGCGGCAGATCTTCATGGAGTGCCACTTTAATGAGGTCGGCCATCACCTAGGTCAGAAGAAGACGGTGCACCGCATCCAGAGCAAGTACTATTGGCTGGGCATCGTCAAGGACGTGGTGGACTGGGTAGGTGTCCTCCGGGGATACGGTTCGTATTTGTTACGGGTTCATTTTTCATTTGACAGGCATTTAATTTGTAGTACCCATGTTAACGTGTGTCTTTTCCTTTAGATCAAGGTCTGTGAACCGTGCCAACGCGCAGAGCTCAATAAAAGCATGACGAGGACGATCCGCCCCATCAAGGTGGAGGCTCCCTGGGAAATAGTGGGAATCGATGTTTTCGGTAAACTTGTATTAGTAGATGGATTTTTCCATGCAAAATTAATTTGAATCATTGTTTTCTAATGCGGCGGTGTGGTATTTATTTTTGGTTTTTACTTTTGATGAAATCCAACAACAGTGGTGGGGGACTGGGGTCCGGTACCCCTCAGTATTTAATTTGGATTAATTAATCCCCTCCAATGAGTAGGCCTTTGCATTTAATTATTAAGTTTGTTCCCCCCCCCCAATATCAAACTCTCATACGAAGTTGAGTGTACTGTATGCTGTGCTCCTGGATTTACGTGTGTGATGCTTTTTATTTTCTCTTTTATGTGAAGGACCTTTCCCTGAGACAAGACAGGGCAACACCAATGTGGTCATAATTACAGATTATTTGAGTAAGTGGATAGAAGCCAGCCCTATACAGAAGAGGGACTCTCTTTCTGTGGGGAGATGCATTTCAGCCGCTGTATACAGGTAAGCGAGAAGATGGGGGCTGAAGTGCCATCAGTTACAAATGCTATAATGCTGGATACATGGATGGTGGTTTTTTTACTCACCTGAGGTGATTCTAGCTGGCTTGAGTTTTTTCTTTTCTTTTTTTAAACAGCCAAACATCAGCAAATGGCCCCTGATGACCCAGTATGACCGGTTACTGTAATCTAGTGATGGACAAATGAAGCTTTATGAACCGATTGCTGTTATGAACCTCTTTTGAAAAAAGGCCTGAATTCATGCCTATGCAGAAAATACCTCATAAGCTTCATTTGCTCATCACTGCTGTGACCCCAATCAAATTTGCTCTCGCCATTTTGAGTTTAATGCTTTGACTGACGCCCATGAGCTTTTTGATGTTAATGCTGGTGTTAGAGTCAAGCAGCACTTCCCCTGTGGCTGAGGCTCTGCGGTTCTGATAATCAGAACGTGAAACATCATTCTGACTCTGTAATGGAGCTGCCATGGTTCCAGGTTCGGGTCGGTGAAGACGGCATTCTGTTCCGAGAGTGTGGACTTCTGCACGGAGGTAAGATGCTCTCATTCCTACTCATAATCATTTGGACACGTCCATGTCACGCAGTGTCCTTAGACCCAGGTATGTCCCTCCCCCTCAGGTGAGCAGGCACCTGAGTGACAGGTGGAACGTGGTGCTGAAGGTGACCCACGTGGGCCAGCCCCAGGTCAAAGCCCTCTATGACCAGAGCAGCAGTGAGCTAAAGGAAGCAGTCAGGCGGCTGGTGAGCGAGAAGCAGGCTGAGTGGGATGATTTTCTGGACCCGCTTCTGTTCCTCTTCCGCACCTCAGCCAACCCCATCACCAAATTCACACCCTACTACCTGATGTTTAACAGGGAGGCCCGGCTGCCCAATGTGGTGAGACCCTCGACGTGGTTTTACTAGATCCAAGAAACATAATGCGACTGGGTAGTGTGGTCTCCTGGATCACCAGAAATGGAAGAATCTCTGACTGGTTAAAGTCAGCTTTGCACCTCCGTTGCGCTTATGGATCTGGTTTTGACCTGTTCTCTCCTTGAAGATGGAAGCTGACTTCCTCAAATGTCACCAGGGACAGGGAGTCTTAACAGCCAAAGATCAGGGTGACAGCAACTTCATGACAGCCATGCAGGAGCAGCAGAACACGGTCAAGCAGCTGGTAGGTCCCCGTCCCCCCCCCCCGTTCACGTGCCCTTGTAGCCTGTACATGCATGTGATCCAAATTTTACATTTTGGCCTCGCGCTACTGCAGAATAACAGGATGTGACACACTGGTGCTTCAAGTCCTGGGGCAGGACCAGAAGGACCAGAAGCGTGAGGTGTCTAAAGCCTAATTCATGCTACACTTTTCCTGTGTGCAGTTACAGTCCATACAGACTCTTGTGTACATATTGCATTTGTTCGTGGGCGCAGACGGTTGCAGTCAGCGCATGCGTACAGCATTGATGTTCCAACAGATCAGCAGCAGGCAGATGTTATCTTCTTGGTCTTAATGAATTCTCTTCCAGCAGGGGGTCCTGCAGCACCTCCTCCAGCAACCCCCCCCCCCCAGCACCCCTGCTTCCCACATCTATGTAAAGATGACACATTTCTTTAATATTTGAAGCAAGATTACTTTTATATTTCCATCATTCACAGGTACAAAATACCAAAAAAATTAAAAGGGGCTGATGCAAAAGTTTGGGCACCCGACAAGGTCGGTACTTAGTAACACCCGCTTTGGTAAGGATTATAACTTGTAAATGATTTTTGAGTCTTTCAACTCTTACTTGGGGGATTTTTGCCCATTCATCCTTACAAAAGGCTTCTAATTCTGCAAGATCCTCAGGCCGTTTTGCCTGCACTGCTCTTTTGAGATCTATCCCCAGATTTTCATTGATGTTTAGGTCAGGGGACTGTGAGGGCCATGGCAAAACCTTCAGTCTGCGCCTCTTGAATTTTTCCATTGTTTATTTCGAGGTGTGTTTCAGATCATTATCTTGTGGTAGGATGCATCCTGTTTTTAACTTCGGGTTTTTTACAGATGGTGTGAGGTTTGCTTCCAGAATTTGCTGCATGATATTTATTAGAATCTATTGTTCCCTCTACCACTGACTGCCACATAAGCCCAAAGCATGGTCGATCCACCCCCATGTTTAATAGTTGGAGTGGTGCTCTTTTCCTGAAATTCGTCACCCTTTTCTCTCCAAACATACCTTTGCACATTGTGGCCAAAAAGATCTAGATCAGTCCACAAGTCTTATTTCCAAAATACATTAGACTTGTTTAGATGTTGTCATGTTATTAGGGTATTGACTTAACTTGAAAAGGGCATTGGGCAACCTCAGGGTTACATGACTCAACTCATACTGTTTCCTTAATCTACTTTTATCATCATTCACCAGATGAGTCACCAGATTAGTCAGTTACTTAGTTTAGTTAGTTAATCAGTCAATTAGGTTGAAAACCTTCAAACACAACAAGAATCAAACACAAAAAATACATTATTATTATTAGTTCTCTACATGTGGCACATTAATCTCTTCACCAAATAAGAATCAGCCTTCACAACTTTCAACAACACAACACTACAGGCCAAGCATTAAACATCAGCACGCATCAGGAGGACCAAACATTGATAGCTATTGCATGAGCTAACATACAACCATATAAGCATACTGCATAGCATGCAAAGCTAACAAGAAATAAGATACAGCTTAGCTGAACAATTTTGTCATTTCTGCCAACAAACATCCTAAACCTCATTCACTACAGGTTATGCTGTACAATGCCAAACAGTACCAACAAACAGTAATGAAAACATTTAGCTTCCCTGGAGGTGGTCAGTAAGTTAAGTCCATTCTAGTGGTTGCTTCTTTCAACAACAATTTGCAGCAGCCAGGGCCCTCCAACCAAGCTTCCTGCTCAACAATATATTTCTTTATCTCTCAGTGGCTTTTGGGAGAACACTATCCATTTCCTCTTCCTTCTTCAGAATAAAAGTCACTTTACATTTCAAAACAAAAGTCCCTGCTCCTCCCAGATCTGGCAGCACAGATGTTCTTTTGCAAACTTCAGATGCTGAATTTTGTGGCTGGGATTCAGGAAAGGTTTTCTTCTGCTGACCTACCATGAAGGCCGTATTCACACAGTAGAATGGTGTACCACCACTCAGAGTCTCATAAATTTTCCTGAAGGTCTTTTGCAGTCAAACAGGGATTTTTATTTGCCTTTCTAGCAATCCAATGAGCAGTTCTTTCATGGCGTTAAATCAGACTCGCCACATCTCAAATTTGAATTTATTTACCCACTTCTGAATGCGTTAACCTGAACTTTCATTACCTGAATACCAGAACCTGAATTTGAATGCGTCTACCTGTATTTGAATTAAGGAATCCGAGTTTGAATATGTTTACCTGAACTTGAATTAAAGAAACTGAATTAGAATTTATTACCTGAACATGAATTTATGTTGCTTTTGTGGTAATAAAAATTCAAGTTTTGGCTATAATACACTAATCCTTCATATAATGCTGAAAATGAATGGGTCATCTCTAACTTTCTGTCTTTTGGTGATTAGTTCATCTTCTGCTCACTTAAAAATTCATGGTAACAGACATTTTAAGCCCAAACTTATGCATGATACTGTAGATGATGCAAACCCTATAGTGACTAGAGGGTATTTCAGAATCTTGCCACACTAGTATGGCATCTGATTACCCATATTTAATTATAATTATTTCAAATTAATATCGTGTCAAGAGGGTCCTCGTCACAGTTGTCCTGCGGAATACTTACAAGATATTGTGCATCTGCCGAGTCACACTTCAGTGACGTGATGATAATCTGCCGTCCGCTATCACTAAACACCAGAGATGCCCAGGACAGCAGGAAAATCTTCTGGTGAGGAGTTTTATTAAATCTGAATTTTAACAGCTGTTGGGCTACTAGCATGTCACATTCATGCCTCAGGTACAGCATAGCTGCCAGCAGACTACAGCAGCCATCTTGCTGGGTTGCAGACTGTAATAGAGTCATGCATTTGTGTACCAAGGTGCAGTTCTGCTTGCCTGCAGGTCATCGCCAACATGAATGCAGCCTACAGACAGGAGAAGAAGAACGGCAAGCGGCCGGCTAGGGCCGGGATCCCACTGCTCACCCCCAGGGAGCCGCCGCCCATGAAGAAGCTGAAGGAGGCCTTCCTCCTGCCCTTCCCCGTGGACGCAGTGCTGGACTCTGAGCACAGCAGCACCCCCGACAAGAAAAGTGGCCTGGAGTATTCCCCTGCCCATCCCTGACGTCCGCTGACAGCCTCCACGGCGGAGGGAGCCACGGGCGGGCATCTCCTCTGGCCTTCGAGGGGAGGGCAGAGAAGCTCCAGCAGTGAGGAGGCAAGAGTCTGACCCCACCCTCGTCACGCCGGCGAAGCACGGTGCTGACCATTCTGATGGCGTCTTGGAGAGAATTTGGCCGGGTTGTTCTGAACCTGACCATCTTCACCCGGTGTCACATGCTGATGGCTATTCCTGTCATGAGTATTTTTATTGAAAGGGGTAGAGGAGAAGACCATCATCGACAAAGAAAGAGTGAAACGCGGGAGGTGGTCTCGTACCTTGGCTGATCCCTGTTGTACTTGCAGCACCACTACTGTGTCAAAAGATAATTTTAACCATTTTTGTTAGTTTCAAAATTACTTCCCCTACCAACTTGCCCAAGATTATCCTTTGAGCAATATTCTAAGTGACACTCTGCCGGTGACATTTCCAAGAGGAGAGAATTTATTTTTAACACTTCTTAAACCTGATGTTGAATGTAGAGACTTGCATACAGACTGGTGAACAAGCTTTATTCCCCATCACAGCAGACGGTATTTGCTTTTCAGTGAATTTAAGAACGAATCTGATCATTAGTGTTAGTGCAGAATTTGGTTTACTCTTGAAGAGTATGGCATGTGATTCTGAAAAAATGACATTCTCTGTAACAATGCGTTTCATCTTTAATTCTTCCCGTGGTAAATGATAAAGTATGTTATGCATTAAAAGTTTTTTTATGTATTTGAAATACACGACTGTGCAATATAATATTCATTTCGCCGGGTCACCATATTTGAGTTTAAAACCCCCGGAAGAGTAACTCTGGCTTCACTGCAGACCGTTCAAGAGTTTGCAAATAACGGGCGATGCTGATTGTGTAAGTGTCTTGTGTGGGGTCCTCACTCGTCTTGCGGTCTGTGATGGCGAAGGACGCTGACAGGGAAAGGCTTGCAGTTAGGAGTTGCTGTGTCACAATGGGGCGGGTGTGAGTGACGCCGCCGCTCACGCGCACTTACCGGCTATCAGGTTTGCCGGAACAGGTGCGCTGACACTATAGGGTGCGCGCGTCGTTGTCCGAGATCGAAGTACGCCGATGGGCTGCTGACACAAGCTGGGGGGGGAGCGGCTCTCTGAAGCAATGAGGGTCGCTTCTTGCATGATCAACAAAGCTGAACGTTTACGATAGTTTCGAAACCGAAGCCGGTCTGTGCGCGATCGTAGCCTCCACCATAAGCAGTCGGTGATTAGGAGGAGGAGGAGTCAGCGTCGCCTACGTAGCCGGCTCCCGGAGCTGCTGTTGCCCGAGCAGTGGCGTGCATGCACCCTCCGCATCGGTCACACAGCCTACCTCCTAGTCCTGAGAGAAAGGGGATGACGCGCTACATCCAGACGGGAAATCAGTGAGTTTCTGTTGGGATCATGATCGAAGTATTACAAATATTATAATAATGCGCGTTATTCGGCTTTTTTTTTTTTTTTTTTTTTTTTTTAAAGATCGGCATATAGCATACGGGACGGTAACCTGTTTTAAAATATTAACAAAGGATTTGCGCAATATAATCCTGTATAAGGCATCAGCAAATGTGCTGTTTTTCCCTGTAATTTGTTTAATTTTAATTAAGCGAAGTAATTTGAATATGACACTAAATGTAAAAAAGAGGGCTTTAGGTAACATCAAATCTTAGTGCAGATGAAAATTATTCAGTGGTTAGAATTTCTTTGAATATTTATCTTGCTGTACTTGGTGATGCTTTCAGCATTTTGTTCCTGTCATTGTAAAGTTCTGACACAGACTGATACAGAGAGATCCAACCTCAGCCCCGGCTTCCTGACCCAGTTTGAGGAAGATGAAGCTGGTGTCCTCTCTGAGCTGTAACCTCCTTTTCGTCCTGGTGGACATAGTGGTTTCCACTGTCCTCTACATCCGTGGGAACCATCTGATCACGTTTGCAGAGGACATCTGGAACTTTGACATTTTACGGTCTACGTTAGACCTGTGGGGGATGCTGCTGGTCAGGGTCTCACTGCTCTTGGGGGCTTCGATTGGGGTGTATAAGAACCGGGAGGATGGGCCCCAGAGGACGCAGGACCTAGGGACGCTGAACTCGCTGCTGTGCCTCGTGGTCATGGCTTACGCTCTGGCCAAGCTGCTGATGTTCTCGGAGCAGGACGGCATGATGTACGAGCCCTGGTTCCTCAGCCTGTTTATCTGGACCTGTGTGGCGGCCATGGGGACGGTGATCATGTGGCGCATTCTCTCCAAGACGCCACGGGCCGAGACGGAAGAGGAGGACAGCGAAGACATTGAAAGGCTGCTGGATCAGGCAGCTGGGAACAGCTCGGAGGAGGAGGAGGAGGAGGAATGTAGGAGAGCGAAGGTTTTGAAGGAGGGGCAGGCCACCCCCGGGGCCACGGTGGGCCGCCTCCTGTCCTACTGCCGGAAGGATGCCGGTCTTCTGGGAGTCGCCCTCTTCTTCCTGCTCGTCTCTGCTGTGTGTGAGTCTGGCCTGTCTCCCCCAACTGGCCTGCTTGTGCCCCAAGTGATGACCCACTAGAGCGAGCTCTGGTACAACAGTTTCAGGACCCAAGATTGCACACCAGTCCTCCAGTGTGCCGCCAGTGCATTCATGGGAGCTTTACTTATACAAAAATGTTCTGAGGGCAGAACATCTCAGAGAGATGTGGGTCCAAGCAAATAGAGGAGGCGGGACCCACCGATCAGATGTCTTGGTCCCTCCTCCTCTAGTTGCTTAGACCCACCTCCTCTAAAATCTGATTGGTTATCTCTCTGAACCAACCATTTTTCATTCTGTCTTTAGAACATTTTTGTGTAAGTAAAACTCCCATGAGCCCCCGAAGCTCATGTCCTTTATTAATAAATCCAGTTCTTCCTGCATAAATAGAACATGAGCCCTTTAGTAGGCCGTTTACATGCCTGCTGCAGTTAATTACACCGCTTCGTTATTGCTGCTATAATACTGCCTGTGTGTGTGTGTGAGAGAGTGAGAGAGAGAGACCTCAGCTGGCTAATGCAGACCCCGAACCCACAGCATGTTGACTTTCCGACAGCTTGGTCAGACCAGGCCGCACAGAGACACGAAGCGGCTGTATGACTCTCCTGTTCCCTGCCTTTGTAGGCGAGGCCTTCATTCCCTATTACACTGGCCAGGCCATCGACAGCATTGTCATCCACAAGAGCATGCAGTACTTCGCTCAACGTATGCTCGCTCTCACCCTGCTGGCACTTGTCAGGTAATCCATCGGGAGCTTCCTTTGTGATTCCATCCATCATATCTTCATTATCTCCACACCTTGAAGAAGAAGCCCATTCATCTACCTGCTTATCTTCCAGGCTTCTAGCACAGGGCTGGGTTAGACCCTCCATGAGATACCTGTCCAGTAGGGCAATAAGAAGAAATTGACCTGAATTATTTTATTTATCCACTTAAATGGGCCTCTGTGTTAAGTTTTCTTTTCTACATTTAAAAGTGCAAAACTTCAACAGAGAATAACTGTGGATGTTAGGACCTCTGGCATGTAACTCTCTCTCTCTCTCTCCCCTCCCCCCACCCTTCTCCCTCTCGCTCTTCTTCTCCCCATAGCTCGCTGGCTATAGGGATTCGAGGGGGTGTCTTCTCACTCATCTTTGCCAGGCTAAACATCCGCCTGCGTAATCTTCTCTTCAGGTCACTAATGCGTCAGGACATTGGTTTTTTCGATGCCAACCACACAGGTGATTTCAGTCGCCTTTAGGCTGTTTTTGTGTGTAAATTATTATATCTCCCCCCCCCGCCCCCCCAATAATCAGAACTGGTCAATACAACCCCCCACCTCCCGCCAAATAATCATGTTGTCACAATTTTACGTTCTTGCTTTTAACAATGAGGTTTAAATTGATGGATTCTTTCATTCAACCAGAACACTTGATAGTTTTCTGCAGCATTATCCATGTTTACCTTGCAGAATTCCCATTGTCCAGGGTCCAGCTGCCCACTAAGGTTGGTTGCTGCCACATAAAGTTAGCTAAAGAGCATTTTGCTGTATCTAGGTGACATCATCTCCCGGTTGACGTCGGACACCACACAAGTGAGCGACCTGATCTCGGAGAACGTCAACCTGTTCCTGCGCAGTTTGGTCAAGGCGCTGGGCTTCTTAGTCTTCATGTTTGGCATGTCCTGGAAGCTGACTCTGGTCACCATCATGGGCTTCCCCTTCATCGCTGTCATTTCCCAACTCTACGGGGACTATTACAAGGCAGGATTCATCTTCTCCGACATGATTCTTTCACTGACAGGGACCTAACTGTTACTCGTGTTTCAGCCTCTGTTGCTCAGCGCACATATGCTAGCTTGGTTATTCATTATTCTAGCATTTACTGTATTTAAATGCATGGTATGTTCAGTATGGTCTTTCAAGACTGAATTGAAAAGTAATCCCAGTGTAAGTACATGGTTGGCCTTTTGCTCACGTTTACCACCACATATTACTGCTCCCCACAGAGGCTAACAAAGGAGGTGCAGAGTGCATTGGCCCAGGCCAACAAGGTGGCCGAGGAGACCATATCGGCCATGAAGACGGTTCGCAGCTTCGCCACCGAGGAGCTAGAGGCCGACACTTACTACCAGAAGCTACAGGAGATGTTTGAGCTCAACAAGAAGCAGGCCCTCGCCTATTCCTGCTTCATGTGGTCCAGTTGTGTACGAACTACCCTCACTATTCGGGAAACCTGGGCAGGGGGGTGGGTAGATTGCAGGGTAACATCTCCCAAGCTTTTTGGCTTCTCGGTGATGGTTATGGCTTCCAGGCCTTGATCTCTTCCAGCGCCTGCATTTATTTACATTAATAATGCATGTGGTTCATCAAAGAGAGCTCCGGGCATGGTGAATGGAAATGGTGATAGCCGTCTTCCCGTTCTCGTCCCCAGATCTCGGAGCTAGCTCTGCAGGTGGGGATCCTGGTCTACGGGGGCCATCTGGTAGTGTCGGGTCAGATGAGCGGGGGCACCCTCATCTCCTTTGTCATCTATGAGCTGGAGCTGGGAGAGTGTTTGGAGGCAAGTCCTGCCCCCCACCAGCACGTAGCGGTGTGGGACGCTCCCGTCTGTCTGAAGCGCGCCTGTTGGGTACATGCTTCCAGCCTGATGTTTAAAATAACGGAAAGCATTAAAGCATTTGCCATTGTCGCCCACTGTGTCCGTACAACAGAGCATTGCCTCGGTCTACACGGGGTTGATGCAGGGGGTCGGGGCAGCCGAGAAGGTCTTTGAGTACATCAGCCGGGTCCCTGAAGTGCCGCAGGGTGGACAGGAGGCCCCAGACACCTGCAAAGGACTGGTGGAGTTCAAGAATGTCACATTTTCCTACCCGACACGCCCTGAAACTCCCATATTAAAGGTGCGTCTTGTCAGATCGGGATTGGTCAGTCAGACAAGTCAGGACCATATAGCTTCTAAGCAAACGGGCTTCAGCTTCAGTATTAAGCGGATGACATGACAGGCCTGCAGATGGTTAGCTGGGGTATTATCCATGTCTGCTCCCCACAGGACGTGTCCTTCGTGGTGCGACCGGGCCAGGTCACGGCCCTGGTGGGACCGTCAGGCAGCGGCAAGAGCTCCTGCATCTGTCTTCTGGAGAATTTCTACAGCCCCCAGCAGGGCCAAGTGCTGCTGGACGGACGGCCTGTGAGCTCCTACCAGCACGCCTACCTACATTCCAAGGTGAGGGCATCGTGAGCCCCCCCAGCAGACCTGTCTAGCCCGTGGGCGTTCTGTGAAAAACCTCGTGTGTCATTATTTTCCAGGTAGCACTGGTGGGTCAGGAGCCTGTCCTGTTTGCCCGTTCTGTCCAGAAGAACATATCCTATGGTCTGGGGGACTGTCCAATAGAAAGTGTGGTACTGGCTGCCTCCAAAGCCAACGCGCACAACTTCATCTGTGGGCTCTCCAGGGGCTACGAGACAGGTGACCCGACCGCGGGTGAAGGGGGTTAGGGTTAGGCTTAGGGTTAGGCTTAGGGGTAAAGGCCTCCCTGACATGTACTCAGACCCACACACATCAGTACTTTCACCTTCATTAGTATCATAACTGTTTACTGTATTTACAGTAGACTATGAACTGACACTTTCATAGCAATGTCTGCCAATATCCATCCATCCATCCATCCATCTATATCTGATCCAGTACAGGGACATGGGGGGGTGGCAGGAAACACAAGGGAAATATGCACAGCTTAATTTAACATCACGGGGGAAATGACATGCTTAAAGTACTGAGGTCAGGCCTTGTTCACTCCCCTGCCCTGACGGCTGGTGCGCTCCCCTCGGACAGGTGTGGGCGAAAAAGGCACCCAGCTTTCGGGGGGGCAGAAGCAGAGAGTGGCCATCGCCCGGGCCCTCATACGGCGGCCCCACGTCCTCATCCTGGACGAGGCCACCAGCGCCCTGGATGCTGAGAGCGAGCACATTGTAAGTGGAGGGGGAGTGGGTGGGTAGGTGGGGCGGGGTGGGGGGTCCCATGAATCTGAGGATGTCACTCAGTTCCTTTTTTCTACTTTTTAATTGTTTGAGGTGATGTGGTTTGACCAGGTATAGTAAGTGTGAATATCTTTGCCTTGGAGGACTGGGGTAACACCTCCTGTGGAGAGGTGAGTGGCTGGAAAAATGTCACCTTTGTGTGCGGAAGCGGTATTCCGCAGTCGCAGGTGCTCTGGTACGTGCAGAATTTTATAGGGGCAGGAGGAGCAAACTCGGGGCGGGGGGGGGGGGGGGGGGCATGCAGAGGTCAGCAGATGAAAGGCACACATGGGTCCGGGAGAGTGGATTGCACTTTTAAAAACAGACTTCAGTGACACTCAAGCCATTGATGTCAATCACATAAATGGACTCCATTAAGCTATTTTTACACGCATTGTTATTGATGGTCGAGCTCTCCTCTAACGGCTCAGTGCCCCATAACTCTGGAGCTGTGGAGTCTGCAGTCACGTTGGCTGAGCTTCCTCCTCTGCCCCCGTGTTCAAGGTCCAGCAAGCCCTGAGCAGCTCCATGCAGAAGCGGACAGTTCTGCTGATCGCACATCGCCTGAGCACGGTGGAGAAGGCCAACAGCATCATCGTGGTGGACCAAGGCCGCGTGGCTGAGCAGGGCAGCCACAGGGAACTCATGGCCCGGGGGGGGCTCTACTGTAAGCTGGTGCAGAGACAAGTCCTGGGCATTGAGACGGGAGATGAGCAGGTCTGTAGCCAGGATACACCCCCGTGTCCAGAAGGGGGTGGCAGGCGGGCAGCCCGACGGGACAGCAGCGGCTCAGAGGACCTGCCCCGGTACTGAGACGACGGGCAGAACCGCTTTGGGTTCTCAATTTGATGCACTGTATTATACAGTAGAATTTTTATCATAATATTTTACTGTAACAGAAGTCAAAGTAATATGTTAATAAAAGTTATACAGGGTGTCCATAACGTCTCTTTACAATTTCAAAAATTTATTGCAAAGGCAAGTGAAAAGACAGATATGTGGAAATTATTACAAAATGAGACGTATATACTAAGTTTTTTTGCCTCATTTAATACACCTCTATATGGGCACCATTAGTCGCACGAAGCACATCAGGATGTTACTTGATTTCTTGCCATGTTCGCTGTAACATAACCCTCATCAATGGGGGCACTGGCATCAGTGATCCTCTGCTTTATATTAGTGATGTCCCGCAACTTTGTTTGCAATGTGATTAAAAGCTTTGATAACCACTGAGTACATAGAACAAATCTGATTGATATCTAATCATTTGCCTTTGTAATACATTTTTGAAATTGTAAAGAGACACCCTGTATGTTACCCATGTCGTAGAAATTTATGACAGTCAGTGCTTTGAAATATGACGTCGTTTATTATTGAGCTCAAGGGAACTACCACTTCGATGGTATCTCCGTAGTAATGTTCCAAAGACTTTCTGGTCAACAACATTTATAGGGGAACATTCACAGTTCGCGCCCCCTCCTCTGAACCAGATCAAACTGGTTAGGTTAGGGTGTGCACTTTGTAACACATATGCCTTATGCAATTTGCATCTTGCAAGCCTGTATACATCACGTGATGGGCATGTGAGGGGGCATCTACGCTTAGGCATGGCCTTTGTCTTTGTAGTGTTTTAAAAATCTTTTAAAGTCTTTTAAAGACTGGAATGATGTAATTTCACTGTATAAACAGTGATTTCAGTTACGTCTCATGATTGCTGTGTTAATTGATTTATGCAAGGACTTTTCTGTACCTATTACTATTATATTATTGTATATATTTACACATAGCTACTTATTCATATGTCTTATGGTTTTATTTTTTTACATTACACATTTGCATCCCTAGGCAGCATTATAGGGATTTTTTAAATTTATCATAGATTAATATTTCAATATTGCTCAGTGGATCTGACTATTTTTGATGCATATTGAAATAACAAAAATGTGAACAATGTACAAATATACAACATATAATTTAAAATCATGTTGGCTGGTTTTAAATTCATTTTTATGTGTGTATTTAGCAAACGAAATGAACATGAGCTGACTGCGTGTGCGCACGTGTGTATGTATGCATGCATCGCAGCATGTATATATGTATTTATAAACTACCATTTCAATCAAAAGGACCTGGCTTTCACTTTAGCGCTGAGTTCTCGCTGTGTGTTGATTGGTCAGGCTCCTATAATCATGCCCATGTCACTGATGTTAATGTGAAACAGTTGGATGAATCTTTCAATCAAGGAAAAAAACCAGTAAAAGTACAAGATGAACCAAACAATCTAGCCAAGCATGAGAGCCTTTCGGTTTTAAAGTAGTTTGTAAAACCTGGAGCAGCTCGAAGCGTCTTCCTGACATGGATTAACTGGTCACCCGACCAAATGTCCCTCAGAATGCGGTAAAACTCAGTGATGGGGCAAAGAAGCTTCATGAAGCTTTGTATTGTGCCAGAATGTGTTCAAACCTGTTTTTCAAACATAGCGAGACACCTAGTGGATTTTGGCAGCCCTTTAAATAATCTGCGAGTGAATCTCTGTTAGCATTGAATGAACCATGCTGCTGCTATGACAACAGGGTCTGACTGTGTTAGACTGTATATAATCTTTAAAAATACGACGTGTTTCTTCCAGTTTACTTATTTTCAACAGGAGTGTTGGAGAAGCATGGAAACCCTGACAGATTCAGGGCGCCCAGCACTCACAGGACGAGCCTGTGCAGCTATTCATCCCTGTGGGTGAATATGTAAAATGATAAAATTATGTAACGTAAGTGGAGCAGGGGGCCTCAAGGTGACATTTTGTCAGGGAGCTCACAGTCTAGCTACTTCCCTGATTTTCAATAAAATATAAAATAATTCCGTAATAGGATCTGGACCCCCTGCCCTCCTGAATAAGACAAGCGGATACAGAAGATGGACTGATGGAATGATGTGTTATTGTTGTATGACAGATGTTTGGAGCAATGCAAACCTGACCAGTACAATAATCCCAGCTAACAAAATGACGTCCTTTCAATGTCATCTGAACGTCGACAAATGTCATGAAAACGTTTATAATTGACGTCATTTGGACGTTATTTTGTAGGGTCCTCGGTACAGTATAGACATCATCATTTCCGACGTCCTCACCACGTACGTCTTCATGACGTCCTTTCAACGTCCTCTGAACATTGACAAACGCCGTGAAAATGTTTTTTATTGATGTCATGTGGACGCTATTTTGTAGGGCCCTCGGTACAGGACAGACGACGTTATTTCCGACGTCCTCACCACGTCTTCACAACGTTACCATGCTATTTCAGAAACAGCTATACAACGTTGTAGTGTGCGAGACCCGACTGCAATGGCCGCACTGCCAGAAGGGTGCAGATAAAGCTATACAAATATCACCACATGCACGTACATTACTTCTTTTACAATAACCAGCTCCTTATCCAAACTGTTAGCAGTGAAAAAAATATATATATTACTACTGTATAGTGGCTCTGTGTAAAAAGATAGCTGTTAGGAAAACGATCAAATACATTTATTTCAAGGATTCAAAGACTAAAATCGGGCGTCCGCCTAACGTGAATGGAACGTTACCAGGCGGACCAAAAGCGGACGTCCGCCTAACATTGTGAATGAAACGTTCCCGGGCGGACCAAAATCTGACGTCCAAAAACGTCACGGTGACGTCGTTTGTTAGCTGGGATGATAAATAATATGAATATAATCATTCATATTTATTAATTTGGCAGATGCTTTTATCCAAAGCGATTTACAACAAGGGAATGGAAACTCAGCCTCCCCCGTGGCAGAGAGAAATGGCCCATTGAACAAGCAAAGGAACTAATAATAATAATAATTATTATTATTATTATAATAGTTGTTATTGTTGTTAATAGTATTTTAATTGTCCCTGCAATGTGGTAAAACCTGTTACTTTTTAGCTTGAAGGGACATTTTTCAGGTCTTCACAATACAAACCTCTGTTTTATAAAAATATGTGACTGCAATCAACAACAACAAAAAAAAAATTGGTTACTTAAGTTTAGGACTGGGTAAGGGTTACGGTTATCATTACGCTTGGGGTTATATGCATAGAAATGAACGGAGAGTTTCCCACAATGGTATGAATATATGGTGTGTGTGTGTGTGTGTCTCTCAGACCAGAGAGAGAGAGACGTCATGTGACGCGTGGGGAGGGGGGGCGTACACGTGGTTCGGGGCCGGGCGCTGATTCTCTCCCTGAGGTGAGCAGCTCCGCACTTCCGCTCCGGGATCTGTTCCTGCTCCGACTCCTGTTCCCTCTCCGGCTCCGGTTCCTTCTCCCTGAGCACGGTCGAGAGGCGGATCTCCGGCAGGGCGCAGCAGACATGTCCAGTTTCGGGGGCGATTTCAGCACGTACACCTTAATGCAGCTCAACGATCTGCTGGAAGATGAGGACAAGCTCAGTAAGATCGTGGAGGAAATGCAGGAGGTAGGAATTATATTGGGTAGATCCAGGTGTGGGGCTTCGGCTCATTATTTTCCAGATAAGTGATCTAATATTTTTAATGGACGTCAACAATGATACGGTGTATCGGATATCGTTAACCCCAGCTGTGGAGTAAAAACACCGAGCCTGATGGGTGAAGTTCACTGCTCAGATCCCGCATCTATCTGTGTTCGGGGTTTTATTTCATCACCTACATGTGTGCAGATTTACGAAAAAATAAAACACCGAGGATACCCACCTTCCCACTTCCTCGGGGACCGCAGCACGGCCGAAATTACCCCGCGACACACAGACCAGGATGGATTTCCTCGGGACACACACCAGTCTGTCAGCGCTTAACTGGACACTCCTGTGGGGACGGAGATAACGCATCAACACTGATGTTTGTTACCATACATTGGTTCCTGGATGGTGTTACGCATTACTGTAGATGGATGACGGTAGGGGAGGTTGCTGGTACCCATCTGTACTCCTTCAGACTGGGTACACAGTGTCAGGTTCATTGTACCAGTCCGATCCCCCATCCAGGTATGGAGCCGGTCTGGAGATTTAGTAAAGATGATGCTGTCTGCGCCGTCAATATGTCATGCATCGATGGGCTAAATGGGAAAAAAAAAATGTTTCTCTGCGAGGAGGAGGAGGCATTCGGAACACGTTTGACGACTTTCTGTCTCACACGGGACATGAATAGCTGCGTGGGCTCGTCACACGTGTGCAGTGGGATGTCGTGAGTAACGCTTTGTGACACCGAGGCGCCTTAACGTAACGCCGGTGCTCCATCGGGCCGCGGTGGTGTGCCGGGTCCGGAGCTCGCAGCCAGAATCCCTCCCTCTGATGAATAAGGGAATATGACATTTCGAGTCCTTGTGTTACATAAACTGTTAAAGTGCAGACCGGGGCGTTTTTCCCCTTAAAGCCGCAGGCACCTTTGGAGCGCCAGTCGTGTGGTTTGTGATCACATGGGCAAACCGGCTGTTTTCTCGGGAGAAATCCCAAAGCCCGTTCGAGGAGGGGGCTTTGTGGGGGCTGCCTGTGCTTTGAGCACCCTGCCTCCTTCCTGTACGGCAGTTAGTGGGGCATCGGGCCAGTTTCTTGTTTAGCCAAGGTTGACAGCTTGTTGCTGCTTGTCTGTGTCACCCAGTTCAGCCCATGATGCTTTTTGTGGTTTTATAGGAATTCGACTTGTTCCCCCCCCCACCTGTATCTGTGCTGACAAAGTGTCACAATCCTTGATTGGTGTGATGTGTGTTCCCCCAAAAGACCCGCACCGTGTTCTTAGGGTAAGGTGTAGATCACTAGCTTGCTATGTGTTTCTGAGCACGGCTGGTTATTCTGTCCGGCACCGTGATTCCGCCACCTCTGATGCCTCCTGCTTAGGATGAAGCCTGCAGTGAGCACTTATCAGATGTGAAAGTGGAAGCAGTATGGAAATTTCTCTCATGTGAAATGCACACCTGAGTACGATGGCCATTTTTCCTGTCTGGAGGCAGGAATGCATTCCGTCTCTCTCAGAAGCGTAGAGGTGATTTTCCCATGTTTCACATCCAGCTCATCTTACAGTAACCAGCTCATTTGCATGTCAGACACCCTGGGCTTCCAGTTGAGTTTCCAGTATCCCAGCATCTCCAGAATCAGCATGACATCAGCAGAGAATATTACACATCCCTCTCTGTTCTTTGGTAGAGAAATTCATGCATATATCTGTGGCCCTGCCACCTTGTGGATGGCAGCCAATAGGAGTGCTTCTACAAATAACGCATGGATGGTACTGGTGATGACCAATCAGCTTGCTTGTTTATGTTGCCACAGCAACAGTTTCTAATTCTAGTTTGTGACAGACGGTAGCAGCGGAGCAGACAAGGTGGATAAAATGAGAAATTGACGTTCTACTGCAATGTTTACTTAAATGAAGTTAGCTAAGGCACATGTCCATGTCACGCTATTATCTCCAGAGTAATAATAATAATAACTGCGTCTGTGTGTCAGAGTACGCTCCATAAATGGAAGTTTTGTTGCATACAAGTGGGCTTTAGTCCTAGAGATGGGCAGGGGCTTTTCAGCTCCTGTGTCCGGCAGGTCCTGGGGAACCTTCCTCCTCTCTCTTCTCCTGCAGACGCCATGCAAACCTAAGAATAGAGTAGCAGTACCAATGAAGGAAAGACTTACAGGGAAAATTCTGGATTGCGTGGCCTAGATTTCCACTTCTGCTGATAGACAGGCTATGCAGAAGTCGCTGGTATTTCTCCTATTTTCTCTCAGGTTCTCCCTGCTAGCGTGTCTACGGTGGGGCTGGTAACGCAGGGCTGTGTCCTGAATGTGCGTGCCTCAGGTCTCAGATACTTTATCAGGCTCAAACCGCTGCGTGCATCTGCTCTGGAAACAGCTCGTCTTCCTCCACTACCAGTGAACTCTTATTAATTATTAACCTGCACATCAAATCTAATTTCAAACCCAAAGGTATCTTTCACTCAGCAGTTCAGGCTACGCACGTTACTCAAAGTGCGTGTTGAAAGTGACCCTCGTAAAACCTGAAACCTTGAGGTGAGCGACTTGGGATTAGCACCAGAGCAAAAAAGGTGGCAGTCTGATCTTGATTTATGGAGGACTTTACACGAGAGACCCTGTACGTCTGAACACCAAGATGTCCGCGTCCTGAATGAGAGTGCGGTTCCCAAACCCTCGCACAGACGTCCAGCTTCCACACCTGTCTCCTTGAAAGCCTCCTGACGTGTCCCCCGCTGAATCGCAGCTCCATGCTTCTTTCAGGTGAGGGAGGTGCAGCAGAGCAAGCAGATGACCCTGGCCAGTAACCGCAGCCTGGCGGAGCAGAACCTGTTGCTTCAGCCCAGGCTAGACTGCCAGAAGAATGAGCTCATCAAGCGCTACTGCTGCCTGCAGGAGCTCTTTGAGGCCTATCAGCTGCGCAGATCCACCTTAGGTATGTAGTTCCTGCTTTGGGGCTGTCTGCGCTTCCTGTCCTCCAGCGGCAGGCGTCTGCTCACACGTCCTCAGTCATGATGTCATTGTCTACCTTCCTGATGCCTTTGTTTAAGTTGATCTTCACCAGCCTGACCAGTTTGACCAGTTCTGTTTTCACTGCTACCCAGAAGGTTTCTGGGGAATTTCCTGCGCTCTCCGCTGGCTCAGGCTCTGGATCCCTGAGGCTCCGGGTGGCAGATGGCCGGTGGCCACATGGCAGAGGGTGGCACCACGAGGAGGCCGGGGTCACCCTGTCCCCATCACCCGCGTATCACTGCCACACCACAGTGGCCAGTATGTGACCGAGCTGAGAGTAAACAGGTGTGGGGCTAGTGGGTGCGGCTCCCAAACGGCACGCCAGCTTCCTCTGCAGGGACAGAGTCTCAGCAATTACCCCAACAGTGGAGATGCAGAGATCAGTCCTTCCCAGTCAGGGCCTGTTACCGTATGCTGAAGGCCTTTCTTCAGCAGTCAGTAGGTTCAGTTCGCTTTTCTTAGGTAGCTGTTTAATGTGGTTTGCTCTAATTAAATTAAATACCACCTTAAGGTTTCCGTAGTGATCGTAAAACAAACAGCCCTGTGGTTGTGGGGCTGTAGGGCTTCTGCTCGTGTGTGCTTTGTGGAATGCTGACCAGGGCCTTAGCCTAAGCAGGTGGATGGGGTGTCACTGGGGGGGGGGGGGGGGCTGTGTGCCCAGCTTGCCAGCAGCTCAGCCAAGCCCCCACCTGGTACTGTTGGCCTGGGTTTACCTCTGTCCCCTCCTCCCCTCCCCCCCTGTCTTAGGCCCACCCCCAGAGTAAATCTCCCACCATGGCAACTGCTGCCTCTGTCTCCTTTGTGCGCGTGAGCCAGGAGCGGGGCAGCTGCAATTGACCCCCACCCCCCAGCAGTGCTCCTTGTGGGGTAAAGGGGGTGGGGGCTGTGCCTGTCAGATGGAGCCGTTTGGCGGCTGGCGTGTGTCACATGATCGCAGCCGGATGGGGAGTCGCTGCCTCCTGACTCACTAACGAGCTCCCGGAGAGGAGTGGTCAGTCGCTGCTTGGGCGGCAGATGGTGCCCCAACACCAGAGAGTCTCCGTCACGCTGCAGCCTCTCTGCTGCTCTGCTGCCAGCCAGCCCGTTGTCATGGCAGCCCAGCCTGTGCACCCTTGCCGTGTCACGCTCCTCCGATTCGCCGGCCGGTACGGCTTTGTGTCTGGGCCCGGGTGCTTGAACCCCAGCCAGCCATGGGCTGCCTTCCGTCCTGCCGGGGGAAGCATGTTAAAATAAGCCCTTTATCTGGCCGAGGTAGGGGGCTTTCACTCACCCTCTGCTCTCTGCCACGCTTGAGAACTGGTCTCTCTGCCAAACTGAACAGAGTCTCTCCCAGTGGGAGGGGGGCGGGGGTGTGATATGGGGGTTTGGGGTGGGGGGGCAGCCAAGTCAAAGGTGCAGAAGGATCTATCAGTTTGGTGCCAGGTTCTGGCCAGGCTGCTGCAGTGGCATGTAGGGTTCTTCAACCCCTCCAGCTCTGGATCAGCTCCTGGTGTAACGCATCACTATCTCTCATGCAGATCACTGGTCTGGAATCAGTTTCTGGTGTAATGCATCACTGTTTCTCCACAGACCACAGGTCAGGGATCGGCTCCTGGTATAACGCCTCTCTCTCTCTCTCTGCAGACCAAAAGTCTGGGATTAACTCCCTGGACACCCTCCTTGCCCTGTTGCAGGCTGAAGGAGCCAAGGTTGAGGAGGAGACGGAGGTGAGGGTGCCAGATTATGGGCCTGGGGTGGGGCTTGTGGGAGTTGTCCTTGCACAGAAATGTTCTGAGGGCAGAAGGAAAAATAATTGGTTTAGGGAGATCAGTTTATAGAGGAGGTGGGTCCAAGCAACTAGAGTAGGTGGGATCAAGACATCTGATTGGTTGATCCCACCTCCTCTACAATCTGATTGGTTCAGAGAGGTAACCAGTCATTTTTTCTTCTGCCCTCAGAACATTTTTGACTCCCGTGAGCCGGGGTGGGCAGCAGCCTCCCCCACTTTGTCCCACAGAGCTGCTCGATGTCAGTGCGTCATGTGTGCTGTGTGACTCACTGTCCGTCAGAGCCGGGGGGCCATACACTCAGCCTGGGGGCAGGGAGGTCATACCACGCCACGCTGAGGGAACTGGGGGCACCTGTTCTCCCACTGATGCCGCTTCCCTCTCGTCTCGCTCCTGTGTTTTGGGCAGAACATGGCCGACTCCTTCCTGGAGGGCGACGTCTCCCTGGACACCTTTGTGGATGAGTATCAGAAGCAGAGGAAACTGGCTCACTTGCGACGTGTGAAGATCGACAAGCTGCAGGAGATGGTGCTGAAGGGCCCCCGGCTGCCCCGGGGCCTGCCACAGGGGCCCCTGCCGGAAGCCCAGCCCCTTGACGGTTCCCCCGCAGCGCAGTGCAGGAGGCTACCTCCCCCTGCCCCATCCCCGGGGACTGTGCCCTCCGATCCTGTGGCTCTGCCATACCCGGCCACCCCCTACCCCCCAATCCCTCCGAGGGTGGGCTTGCCACCGCCTGGGGCCCCCCCAATCACCTGCCCTCCCTCAATGCCCTTCATGCCCCAATGCCCACCAGCACTGCCCCCGAGGCCTGGCCCTCCCTTTACCCCGCAGCCCGGGTTCATCCTCCAGTGAGAGGCCCATCTCACGGTGACAGCTCAGCGTTTGCTCAGCGGCGCCACCAAGTGGTCATCCAGGTGCATCGGCTGCCACGGGAGAGTGTCCATCCAAACTTGACAGCCTGTGGTTGTTCCACTTCGTGGTCCCACCTGGGGTGAGGCGCTTCTGCTTCAACTTTCCCAGGATGCTCAGCCATCCTTCTGTTTTGGGGGAAAACAGTCCCCCTCAGATGGATTTTATATACCTTAGTTTGTAAGACTTTTTACTTTGATAATGTTGGGATGTATAATTTTCAGTTTTGCTGTTTACGCCATATGGGTGGAAAAAGGTAAAACGGTCATTTTTAACCAGACTTCTCCATTTTTAACTGGAAAACGCTGGTCTCAGGAGAGGGGCGGGCCTTGGGGGCGCTTATGCAAAGCCGATATGAAAACCACACTGTGCCGATATCAGAATCACGCACGTTTCAGAGAAGTTTCTGTTTACCAGGTTAGTTGCTTAAGCCTGCAGCCAAAGATTTTTCTGAATGGTTTTATTACTTCACTACTTCAATTTGAATGTTTTTAACGTCATACAAGCCCGAGTCGGAGGCTACATTGTAACCTGCGGTGGGGTGATGCGAGTTGCCCAGAGCAGCAGCTTGGTAATTAACCTGGCAAATGAGCAGCATCTCTGGAAGAGCATTTGCTTACTACGCTCATTCCTCACCCATCAGCCTACCTCAGGGATGTGCCGAGTGGGGCACGGGCTGAAGATGTGAGTACAAACGACCAGAACTTTCCGGCCGAGCGTGATCGCACTACACCGAGGCCAGCGCATCCTCAGTGACCAGCCCCAGTACCTTTGATTAGCCTGCCGCTGCTCCCAGCTCTTTGGGACCGGCGCAGGTGATCATCCTGACCAGTAGGGGGCAGCATAAGTGGTGCCACAGGCTGCTCAGTGTCAGCCCTAGTGGGTGACACTGCGTACCTTATATACATGCACAAAGCGCTTCGACTCAGTGACGCACAGATTCCCCCAAAGCCGCCCTTCCTGCTTGCCAGTTGCATCACTGCAGTCACACGGCACAGTGCTGGCCCTCCAGTGAAAGGCCGAAGGGCCGCTGGGCCCATGTGATGCCGTCAGCTAGGTGGCTTTGCCCGTCTCTTCTCCTCTTCTCTTCTTTGGCACTAAGCCTGTCCCTAAGGCCTTTTGGCATTTTTTCCCATCCTTGCGTGACCCTCTGACCAGCCTATCTGTGACCCCCTCGCTATGCTGAGTGCATCCCTGCGGCTGATGGCCCCTCGTGTTTCCGTGCGTTCTGCTTCCACGTGGCCCAGAACCATAGCTTCTTAAATATCATCCCAGGAGCTGATTACATTTTTATTTTTATCTGCAGCTCCGACAAAACACTACTCTGTTCCTCGTGTGCCGCCAGGCTCCAACCCCCAATCACGCGGTCCGGGTGCTGGCAGGCCGGCTGCCGCGTGAAGCGCTTGTGATCCCGCAGGCCTGCCTCTGCAGTCTGACGCCGCGCCGGCAGGGAGGAGGGTCATGGCCATTTGATGTTTTCTCTGCTGCGTTTGAGGCCTTGTGAACATGAGCACTGTTGTCTCCCTCCGCCCCCCCCCACCAAGTCTTTAATTAAACTCCTGCTCTGTTTTTGAGCCATAGGGACATGGGCTGGGGGGTGGCCACGGTGAGTCGGCCTTTCCATCCACCCGTCAGGAATCTACCCTCACCTCTGGTGCTACTGAGGCCATGCAGTCACAGCAGGGACGTGGTCGTCCGTCTCCGGACCCCACCCTTTTCTACACACCTTTTCCGCTGATAATAACACTGGTCTTGTCCTTGCACAATGCGTACTTTGACCCGACCCGAGTGGGACAGTTCCAACGAGACAGCAACCAGAACACAGATGTAGGTAGAAATGAAATGTGTGTGTGAGTGTGTGTCCGTGTGCGAGAGTGAGAGAACTGAAATGAAGCCTCATTTCCGCATATTGCTAAACAACTTCACAGAAACCAGCATGATTAATATGTTGCTACGGTTACCACCCCTCATTAGTTTTATTGTAATTTTACTGTGAGAATGAGAAAGCTAGTGATGTGAGTATGTAGGATCTGAACACAGTGCTCTGTAAATTAAGGCCATTGGTCAAAATATCTACCACCAAAAAAAAACAAAAAAAAAAAAAACAGTTTTCCTATTTTATATTGTAAGATGCTGGCTGGTTCTTGCCCAGTGTAACATGTTGACTGTCACTGTAATAGTGTGCTGTATGAAGAATAATGGTTTCAGAGGACAGCAGCGACTGTCTCTATTTTCAAAGCTAATAAATCAAACTGTTTTTCTATAGTTCTGTGTTTCGTCCTTTTCCTGGAAATTTATCGGCATCTTTAGTTCGTTATCATTGGAAATCTTTCTGCAGTAAGCGGGTTTCACGCCATTTCTGCTTGGACGCTTCTTACACCATGCGTACAGTCTGCTGAACAGGCATGTCAAGCAGGGGGGCAAGGACACAATCAACATAGTTGATAATTTCAAACCAGTCCTCGGGGGACCCCCCCAGAGGGTCCACATTTTTGCCTCCCTCCCAGTGCCCTGCCAGACAGTCTACATTACTGGGAGCTGGGAGGGAGCAAGAACATGGACCGTCTGGGGGGTCCCTGAGGGGCGGGTCGAGAAAAACTGGATTATGGAAAGATACAATTACATTTATGTTTTCCAGTTTTTATGTGTTCTGTTCCTTTAGTGGACTGAAAGAATTTGCTAGATTTCATTGCCTGCATCCATCTTCAGAGTGTTTATCCTGGTCAGGAGTGCAGGGGAACCTGGGGCCTCTCTCACTCACAGCAGGGAAAACCCTGGACGGGACGCCAAGCATTTCTTGGAGAGTATTGTGATATTTCTAGTTTAACTATAAAATAATCATTTGATATGTTGTGAATACATGGTTGTTCAATATACAAACACATTATATCATTGCAGAAAGATGTGTGACATAATCTCTGATTATCTGAAACGACTGTGCAATATGGAGTTGCTGTATGGGTCATTTCTCTGGTTAACACTGGGGAGAGACTTCAACTGATCCCACCAAAGTGTTTTCAGATTAACAAATTAGTGTTTATTATCATTTGCTTAAAAGAGAGGAATAATTTGCAAAAACCTGTGTAGAATTATGGATTGTCTAGTTTCACGCTGTAAGCCAGATATTTTGCTAAGCGATTTAGTGGGTTAATTTTCCCTCCAGAACTAGGTCTATTTGATATTTCGCTTCACACCCTTTTACGATGGATGGCGATGTGAGATATCTGCTGTCACACTATTGGAATTTTATCTTAATTTAGGATTTTTTCACCTCACATTGCCTCTTTCTAAACGGCAGAGGGCGCCAAGTGTCTTTTGCATCGGGCGGCCAAACTGACGCCACCAACGAATAAGAGGGCGGAAGTGATGCTAAAAGCGGATGTATGCGTGTGTTGATCTGGGGAGCTGACGGAGTGATTCTGCTATAAAAGTAGGTTCACTGACAGGCGGTATAACTAATCCATGGGGCTGTAAGGTATTACTTTGTGTTCCGTATGTATATTGTGCTCTGCGTTGTTATACCGAATGTCCTGTTTCCACTGTGAATGTACGTCTGGGTCTGGTAGGTAACTTTCCGCAGATGGGTCATGAACATCTGTGCAGTCCAGCAAAGTAGACTTCGCTATATAACTTCGTCTCAAAGAGAGTGGTGATATCTAAGTTATTTGAATATTTCCGGTATCTTAATGTAATTAGGTACACTAATGTTAATGTTTTTACTGATATGCGATGACAGCCCGATCGACAGCTGTCTTGTGCTTTTTAGATTCTTTAGTGTGGATTCCGTGTTTCGTCTGTGTTTACACGAGCGATGGCGAGTGGGAAAGTACCACTGGATGAGCAACATGTAACGGAGCCTTGCGGTGCCGAGGGCGGGGAACGCTGCCTGCCGGCGCTGGTGAGTGACAGACCGCTGGCCTGGCTGTCTTACTGCTGACCCTACGTGGTCTTTTCTCTATCTGAGTTATCTGCTCTGGTTCTGCAGCACCCTGATCGCAAAGAGGACCGATGCTTCATTGCCTACAGACCCCCACCCATAGAGTGCTCCCCAGCACTGGTGGGGGAGTTTTTAGAGCATGCTCAGTTCATTGCCGATGACCTCGAATGGCTCCTGGCTCTGCCACATGACAAGTTCTGGTGCCAGGTGGGTGTGACATCCTACCTTGCCCGCTGTTTGCCATCTCCCCGGCCTGGTTGTGCTTCAGGGCTCCTCTTCACCTCTCAGGTGGTGTTTGACGAGTCACTGCAGAAGTGCCTTGACTCGTACCTGCACCTGGCCCCCAGGGGGCTGGACCCCGCTATGCTGCCTGCCTCACCCGCTGTGGCCGAAATGCAGAAACGCCTCCACAGATCAGTCTTCATGACATTCCTCAGGATGGCCACACACAAGGAGTCCAAGGTGGGGGCGCTTTCTCATAAACATGATGTCATATAAACATGATGTCAATTTTCTTTGTGTTTTGTTCTTACATTCAGTCCTGTTTCAGTCACTGAAATTGTGCCTCACTGCTACTGAATGATTTTTTTTTTTTGCTTTTTTTTGTCTGCCTGTCCTCAGGAGAACTTCATCACTCCAGCCGTATTTGGAGAAATCATCTACAACAACTACCTGTTTGACATTCCTAAGATCTTAGATCTCTGTTTGCTGTTTGGAAAAGGAAACTCGCAGTTGCTTCACAAAATGATTGGTAGGATAGCACCTTTAGCTCACAGTTTGTTTAAAACCAGAAAAATAAGTCCTTGTTCTTTAATCAGTGCCAGCAGGTTTAATTGAGCTTTAGCTAAAGAAATCCGGTCTTGTTGGAATTCCACCTACTGAATCTGATGATGGTATGTTTGTCCTGCAGAGAATATATTCACTCAGCAGCCCTGCTACTATAATGACCTGGAGGAGGTTGTGCCTACTGTCATACAGGTATGAGGACCAAAGGCAGGCACTGGCACTGGCACTGGCACTGGCACTGGCACTGGCACTGGCACTGGCACTGGCACTGGCACTGGCTGGTACATCCCACGCAGTTATCGGGCTCATTCTGGCAGTGTCCTCCTTTCACAGGTGCTGGACACAATCCTGGACAGGTGTGGCCTACAGAGAGAGGGAGCCACTGCCAGCGAGCCTCTGAAACTCGGGGCCAGAGCAAGGGAGACGCCCATGAGCATCAGCGAGAAGGTGACTGTCCCATGATGCACTGCTCACACACATGTGCATACAGCTGTTTCCAGTCATGCTCACTGTAATGCAGGTAGTGATGTCAGATTGCAGATAGAATGTGAGATAAACACAGTTCATATATCAGGTCATCAAAAAGGCAACAGTTGTGTCCTGTGAGGAAGCTGAGCAGTTGTGATGGTAGTAATTCCTGCCTTGTGATTGGTCGATTTCAGGATCTGGGGGACCTGGTCTTATACTTGTGTGACTCCTGTACCACCATCCACTCCTTCCTGGACATCTTCCCCCTCGCCTGCTCCACCTTCCGGTCTCACGACTTCGTCCACAGGTGGGTGTGAACAGGGCACTCATTCGCTGCTGGTCTGAATAAACGGCACTAAGTGGGATTGTGGTTTCTCATTTTCAGGCTGGCCTCATTTTACGAGACGGTCGTATCCGACATGGAACAGGCTGTCCGGAAGAGGAGCTTTGAGGATAAGAGGTCAGTGCTGCTCTGTGCGGGTGACTGAGGTGGGGAGTCCAAGGGACTTATTACTCTGCCCCCAGCCTTCAGGACGACCTGTGGAGGAGGGTCTCTCATTCCCGCAGGAAGATGGCAGAGATTGTCCATCTGCTTCTTCAACACACATGCCTTCAGCCCATTCTGGAAGGGTATGTGCCTGTCTGGTACAGCACTGATTTCTATGTCTGTGCTTACTGTCAACTTGTCTAGTACAGCACTGATTTTTATGTCTGTGCTTGCTGTCAGCTAGCCTGTTACACAGCTTATTTCTCTGTACTTATGGTTGCCCTGTGCCTATAAGGGACAGTGGCCAGTGCAGTTATGTGATTTGCTGGTTAATCAGACCCTAACATTCTCATTTCAGTTCGGCGAACATCCAGATTTTCGTGGAAGATTTCCTGCAGACGGTCACTGCTCTCCTCCCGGAGAAGAGGTCAGGGTCTGTGGACTACCCGGCTCGGGCCGTGAGCGCCCCCTGCTGTCAGCCGTCTGACTGCGGCCTCTCTCCTCTCAGGTTCCTGGCTGATTACGATGAGCAGTTCCCGGTTTCAGATGACATCAGCCTCTTACAGCAAGCGTTTCCATCCCTGTATCCTCCGTTTCAACCCCCCAACCTCCCCCCATCCCATGTTTGTACCTGACACGTTGGCCTTAATGGGCGTTTGCACAGAGATGAGACCAGGACATCCTACATCCTGCAGGGGGTGCTGTCTGCCTGGGAGAGCTCAGGCAGGAAGCGGCCGTGTCCAGAGCACCCTAAGGGGGCACGGAGAGGGGCTGAGGCCTGGACAGAGGGGGAGCCTGCCCTGGTGGATGGGCTGCAGAGAAGCACAGAGGTCCCAGAGCCCCCACAGCGAGGAGAAAACGTGCGTTCAGAGCATCTCCCCCCCCCCCCCCACACACACACACACACAATTTAGCTCCGATCCACCTTGCAGACTTCAATAGGATGACCTTCCTGTAGGGAAGAAAATGAGCTCTATGTGATGCCCAGCCTCACCAACAGGGGGCGACATGCACAGTGAGTGCTGGAGAGTTGGAGTCCCTGCTGTCTCACATCCGGGACCTGCTGCCTGAGCTGGGTGAGGGCTTCCTCCTGGCCTGCCTGCAGGAGTACGGCTACAACTCGGAGCTGGTCATCAACAACATCCTGGAGGACGGGCTGAGCCCCGCACTGGCCACGATGGACCGAGCTCTGCCAAGGTCAGACACGCCGGTAATGCACTGTATGCTATGGTGTGCACGGGTACCTTTGCAGCATCATTAAGAAGGCAGTGATCCCAAAAAAATTATGCAAACTGATAAAGCTTTATTAATGAAGGCCTAAATTATATACAGTATGATCGTTAGGTAAGGCTAACGATTTTGATTTGGATACTCACTGTGTGTTGAGATTTGACGTCTACTACTCAGCTGAAATTTTGCACTGTATATTTAAAGTTCTATCATCGGTAGCGGTAAGCATATCCCAAGATGCATCAGGAAGCCAGCAGGCTTCCACAATTCAGGGAAAGAAATGAAGAGGCAGAAGGTTATGTCTGAAAGTCACACAAGCGTGCATGACCGAATGCCTCACGGTCCGTGCCTTAACCTCAGCTGCAGCAGACTGGCACAGTGACACTGTCTGCGCGCGCGTCTCTCCAGGCACGTCTCTCCAGGCGCGTCTCTCCAGGCACGTCTCTCCATGCGCGTCTCTCTCCATGCGTGTCTCTCCATGTGTGCACATCTGGGTTTCTGTCTCACAGACCCGTGAAAGAGGAGCCACCACCTGTCCTGAGCAGCAGGTCCAACGCGTTTGACGATGACGAATTTGACGTCTTCAGCCGGGATCAGCTGGACATGTCCCGTGTCTGGAAGGGCAGGAGGTGACAGAGTTCGTCGGAAATTACTTTTTTTCTTTTTTAAAGCCACGGAATCGACATTAAAAGCCTCTCACTTCCTTCCTGGCCCGTGACTTGTCAGCATGACGAGACCATCAGGGGCGGTAGCAGGTCATACCCCAACCCCCCCGGTTCCTTTGCCCTTGTGCATTTCTGCAGGCAGGGGGTGAGCACACACGACTTCCTGAATGACAAGCAGCACGTCCGGGAGCAGCGGCAGCGCTACCAGGCCTACGAGACCGTGGTGGACGAGGTGCCGGTGAGCGCGGAAGCTTCCGGAGGCTGCCAGGAAGACGAGTACGACGACGAGTATGATGACACTTATGATGTGAACCAAGTGGGGGCCAACGACCTGGATGGAGACGGGGAGGTGCTGAACCGCAGGTAGGACCCCTCCCCACACACACACACCTCCATAACCCCCCTTACCTCCCCAAGAGGAACGATGTTATGGTAGATGATCTGAGGATCCTCCTTCTTCCCCCAGGCCCTTTACCATCCCTCAGATCCTGCGATCTGGGAAGCAAAGCCAGGTTGAGGAAGAGGAGGAGGAAGAGGAGGAGGAGCTGAAGGTGCGGTGTGGCCCTGGGGTTCAAGCAGTGCTGGCTTGGGGAGGGGGACATACTGTCCTCACAGCTGCTGTGTTTGTCCTCCACAGGAGGACAGGGTGAAAAAGGACCACTTTGTGGAGGACCCAGCAGTGCTGAGGGAGCGTGCGGAGGCCAGGAGGGCGGCGATGCAGAGCAAGAGAGGGTGAGTCCACACACACACACACACACACACACACACACACACACACACACACACACACACACACACACCCCAGGAGCCTCCTCTTGCCAGATGCTGTCCTCACTGATGTCGTCGGCTCCAGTTTCAGGCCAGACCCGAGCAGCCATGTTGCAGGTCGATCAAAAGGTCAGGGTCAGACCCAGGAGACCATCCACGATCGACGCAGGAAGGAAGCCAACAAGGGCCGAGGCGCCAATCACAACCGCAGGGCGATGGCCGAGCGCAAACGGAGCAAAGGCATGATCCCCTCGTGAGGCGCAGCCCTTCCCCCGGCCACCATAACGGCGGGATGATGCACTGTCGTTATATCAGGGGAGAGATTTCAACTTTGGGGTGATTGTCCCTTAAAGGGAAATGACTTCTAACAGACGCACAATGTAAAGTTTGTAACAGATCCATTTATTAAACACCAGAGAGATGTAAACACTTAGATTGACATTAAACGGACTCCCTGTGACGTTTAATGGACAGAAGGTACATCAGTTCGGGATGGGGTCAGAACCCCATGTGACATACCCCCCCTCCAGCTGACGCGCGCACTGTGAAACATGGACACAGCCTTCTGAGCCGGAGGAGCCAGTCAATGTTCTTCATTACGTGGAAGGTTTTTCCAACGGGTATATATCTGTGGGTGCAATAAATTATGTGCGCTTTCTGACGCTGTACTGGATTTTTGTCAGTAGGGGGCAGCATCAGTGCTGCTCTGGGAGCAGGGAGTGTGCCTCACTGTCTCAGGAGTGCAGTTTTACATCACATTGGTAATCGGCCAGAAGCAGAGGTGGGTAGACTATGGCTGCATGATGTCAGATCTCGATTTCCTCGCCAGTATATGCCGCGTGCACAATAATCACCAGGGCTTTAGATGGCAGGCAAAACCTTCGTCTGGATGCCGGATTTTCGGTACTATACGGACGTTTATTTTCGCCCACGATTTGGTAAGCAGATTAGTAGTATGCTTAAAATATTCAGGAGATGCACATTTTGATGCCCCTAAGTTAGTAATCTGTATAAATTCTACATATCCTTTTGCCTATTAAACTCCGTTAGCAGAGTACCCTGTATTACTGTTTTGCTAAAGCATAGAAGCGATTTCTAAGCACTGAAGTAGCAGTGAAGAAAGAGACAGCTCAGCAGCCACATCATCATCTGAAAGGGGAGATAGCGTTATGGGCGTTTATGGGCAGAGAGAGCGTTATGGCGGTACTGTTTGCAGTTTAAAGTCCCTCATGTTTATTAAACATAAGGATGTGGTGAATTTATACAGATAACTAATATTTTAGGTATACTACTGATCTGCTTACTAATGGTGAGCGCAAGTAAACATCTGCACAGTACCGAGAAGCAGGCGTCTGGCCAAATGTTTCGCCTGTCAGTAAAGCCCCAGTGATTACTGTGCATTTGCCATATAATCGCGAGGAAATCGAGATCTGATATCATGCAGCCCTGGTGTAGACTGGTACTCTGGCGCTCTGCTGGGTGTCTGTCCACCACTGTTTAGTTACCTGCGAGGTTTGCTTACACCTCTTCCTTTCTGTGATGGTGGCAGCCCAAAACGGCCGCAGCATCATGTCACCATGCAAAATCTCAGTAGATTATAAAATATACTGAATAGTATTAAATATTATCAAAAACTTGTAGCCCAGTGTCGCCTCTCCGCTTGCGTACAGGCAGACGGTTTCCCGTGACCTGTGACTTCAGACAATGAAGGGTTAATCATCTGCCATGACAAAGAGGACGTACGACAAAACGGGGGAGCCAGTCTCATGGCCTACAGACTACCCTGACAGTGCCAGGGCGGGCGGACATGCACGCACGCACACCACACAGATGCTCTAGTTCGGGGGGGGGTGGCTCAGGAATGGCCACAGAGGCCAGCAAGGTTTAGAGCACCGGGGGGCTAGGCTGGGCGGGGTTCAGAGCTCAATCCCGTTGTGAGTCCAGTCACATCCCAGGCAAAAGCCATTAGCTGTCCTTACAGAAGTTACCTAAAAGGATGAGAAACAGAGGTGTCATGGAGGGTAGCCATGGCTACAGTTTAAGCAGGAAAAATCCTAGCAGTTCTGAACATCCACAGCCAGGTGGCGCCACTCACCCAGGATGCTGCGCTTGCACAGTGGGCAGGTGTGCTGCAGGAGCAGCCAGGTGTCCACGCAGTCCCTGTGGAACTCGTGCAGGCAGGGCAGCACCCGCAGGCACTGCGGGAAAACGCGCAGCACAGCTCGGTGCATCATTCATAAGGCGGCGTATTTTACTAGCCCCTGGGTTATACTGGTAATTAAGTGGGTAATTGCTTTGGTAATTAAATGCCTGATCGGGGGCGGTCTCTGAGGCAGGCCACACACCTGGTTGTTGTAGAACTGCTCCAGGCACACGGCACAGTCCTCCGTCTCCGTTCCCTGGCCGCCGTCCCGTCGTGGCCGCGGCGGGCGGTACTTCCTTGTCTTTAGGGCTGCCAGCCTCTTCAAGACGTCCTGCTTTGGAAGCAGCTGTAAAGGGCAGAGGCGTAAGCAGCCATTCGGCTCACAGACAGGCGGAGACGGGCTCCCCGGACGTGGCCTTGAGAGGCGGGGCCAGGGTTGTGCCGCACCTCCAGGTTGTCGCCGCCCTCCTGGCCGCGATACTGCCAGTGCGCCTGGACGATGACTCCCGTGCACAGGATTGTGGCCACCAGGAGCACTGTGTCCCACAGCTGCTGCAGGTACTTCTGTCAACGCAAAGTGGGGCAGCAAAGTCACAGCAAAACACATTATTTTAGACAGTAAGTTGAATGCGTGACTGCCACCTAGAGGGGCCTCCAGGAACAGCGGGGTCTTTTTGGGGCCGTCGGGTTCGGGAAAGCCCACCTGGACCTGGGAGTTGGACTCCCCAGTGCAGATGACTCCCTGCCACTCCCCATACAGGCCCCCGCGGGACCGTCCACAACTGGACCACAGTGTCAAGGTGGCCCCCTATGGAAAAGCACAGCTCACATCCATAGATTAACCGCATCACCACCTCCTTAATAACCGCAAGTCTAATCTAGTGAGCGGATGCCTCCTACCAGGTTCTCCTGCACCAGGGTCCTGTATGTGATTTTAGCTGTGGCACGAAGACCCCTGTGAAGAACAGCGTCGCACCTGTCACCGACCGCCGTGTCGAAGGGAGTGTGCGTGGGCGTTACCAAACGCATCACCATACCTGAGGAGAGCGCCGAGCAGTTTGGTGACGTTCTCCGACGTCTGGATCACCACCACTGGCTTGGAGAGCACCTGGGAGAGGTCCATCTGTAACAGGCAACACAACATGATGGCAGGTCCCTCTGCTGGGGGAGTTAGCGAGCCCAGGACACCCCTGTGGGGTGCGGAGGAGCGAGCTGGACGCACCTCCCTCAGAGTGTTCTGGTTGAAGGCCAGGATCAGCAGAGCAGATGCTCCTAGGACCAAGGCTCGCTTCATCTGCAGGTGACAGTGAAAGCACCAAGCTCACTATCTTCTGTTACCACCAGCAGGATTTCATGCAAACATGAAACGTTCCTTAATTATCAATGAACATAGTACTGATCAGTCTGTAGGGCAGAGCTCAGCCGGTCCACATTCCTTTAAGCTGGGAAATGGGTTTAACTCGTCCATCTTTAAGCTGACCTTGTTCACAACGGCAGCCGCAAAGGACTCCTGGTTCCCATTTGAAGCGTCACTCTCTCCGATCTGGACCGGAACCACACCTATCCAGGGCTCATTGGCTTCTGATTGGTCTTGGAGATTGACACTGTCATCTTGCACCTGTAGGACATTGCAGGAATACTATAAGATTATACCTGACAAAAATGTTACTGAGGTGTATAGTAGATGTTCAGCACTATGTATGTCAGAGGTTTGCATATTGATTACAGTTTTCTGTTATTATGGTGGAGAAAATAATTTGTCTTCTATCCATCTATCTTCCATGACCACTTCTGACTTTTCAGGGTCGCAGGGGGTCTGGAGCCTGTCCCAGAGGCTATGGGCACAAGGCAGGGAACAACCCAGTATGGGTCGCTATCCCAACTCAGGCTGCACTCTCCCACACACACCTACAGGCAAATTAGCAACTCTAATTAACTTCAGCATGTTTTTGGACTGTAGGGGGAAACCGGAATACCCAGAGGAAACCCCACAACGACAGGGAGAACATTAAAACTTCACACTCATAGAACCCTGGTGGAGACTCAAACCCAGGTTCCAGTGTAAGGCGACAGTGCTAATAATTGCACCACCAATCCGTCCCATAATAACATATAATAGTTGTATTTTTATATATAAATAAATATTGGCAACAGTGACAAATTGGCTAGCAGGTCTACGCTCCCTCAGAAGTTTGGCGCCCTAGGTGGCTGCCTATGTCACCTATATACAGTATATGATTGGCCGCCTTCCTTATAATGTTTATCTAAACGTGCAGGATCGAGTAAGAGTCGGGGCACGGGGCAGTGTGTGGGAACGATAAGGAGATGGGGCACGGAGGAACGTGAGGGAGCCGATGGGGTAAAAGCGGTACTCACTACGCGCAGATTCCCTTCCACACTACCGGGCCGAAGTTCAGCACCTCTCGGATCACCGTCCCGTTGCGGATCATCAGCCCAGCTGCCCTCGATGACCTCTCCTTGCAAGAGGGTGGGTACAACCCGGCGATCCTTGAAAAACACTTCCACGGAGGCCAAGCTTTGGGCGGACACCATTATGCAGGGCCACAGCGAGGAGAGCACAACCGGCAGCAGGACAACACGGCGGCAGCCGTCCGCTGCCATGGTCAGATAACAGGCGATCGATGAGCTCTACCGTGTGCCGGCGCCGCCCGGTTAGCTCAGCTGGACCATGTAAACATTAGAATCGCTTCCCGGGCGACCCGGAACAGACACGGATGACGAGAGACTGCCATCTAGCGGGCGCTTGGGGAGACTACTGGGAGGCAACTTCCCTGAAAGCGGTGTTTCACCCCCCACCCTCGGTCGGCGAACGTGGTCCATGTGTTACTGACATCCTGTATTCATGCTGGCCAGTGTGCAGTCAAAATGCAACAGACCTGAATCATATTCCAGAGGATAACATGTTATAATTAAAATAGCGCAATTCTAGAAATGTCTAGGAAATCATTCCAGATGACACTATACGCTTGACAGCGGCTATTTAAAAACCATGATTTTCAATCATGATTCATTCCAATATGAGCACAGGTGTTTTTTGTATTTATTTGCGATCCAGTTTCCCGTGCGGTATTCAGGTCACGAAAACTTAAACACAATAAGCCATTTGCACTGGTATAATGAAAATATTATGCCGTCAGCGAAGCAGTTTCATGTTCCTCATATATAGTACTAAACGCGTGTGTTGTACTGTTCTCATGCCATCAAACCAGCCCAGTAAAGTAACTAATACAACGAGGGCAGCTGCCAGCCCCAACCCTTAGGCTACGGCTAGTTCTGGGCGTCGGGCCTACGCCATATAGCCATATCTACGTAGCCTGCATTGTACTATAGACAGGCATTATAAACTATAGACATTGTACTGATATACTTGATACCTCTGCGCCTTTTGCCAGCAAACCATATTTAATATCAGCAGAGTGTCAAATTAGTTGTTAATGTTGCCTCGAGTTGTGCTGACAGAAACAAAGCAGGACCGACAATTAAGGCTCTTGTTTTTGTTATAGTCTCTCGATCTGGAATCCTGATTATTTCCACACAGCGGAGGAATAATGGCTTCTTCGCTTCCCTCCACCTTTTGTACAGTTTTTCCACAAACGCACCATAAGTGATTCAGGTAAATACATTTAAAATTAATTATTATTACACATCGATATGACTATCACAAGCCAAATTTTCAAATATAACTTTACAGAGTACTGTAATTTGATTTTAGCTAACTTAATATTCAATAGCCTAACATTTCATCTGAGCAGTAACGGATGCAATTGTACCCTGGTGAAATCGTGTATCGCTCTTCAAGTACATAGGGATGTGCGGATCGATACAAAAATATCGATTCTTCCAATCTGAAAGTTTGCCTGTTATTAGGCTAAATGAAGCAGGACATGAGATCCATCCCCCGCCTTAAGTTTTATTGTCAGGTTTGGGTCAGCACTGAATATCGGGGATGGCATGGACGATTCCAACCTTGGATCGAAAAGAAAAATCTGTGGTTTCGCCAGTCTCTGATTTTGCATGTAAACGTCCGTGGAAACCATGGCAGTCAGTGTTTCATCCCCTTTTTTACCAAGAGGATCGATCAGAATTGTAGCGATTAGCGTCGTGGGGACGAGTATAAGTTGCATTTTTGGTGATGTGCGCCGTAGCTACGCTAAAGGCTGGAAAGAGAAGTAAGTCAGCTGTAATGGTCTGTTATAAAAATGGGCACTCAGTACAATTTGCCGCCACTATGCTGTGATGGGCCCCGGGGGTAGATGCCCTTCCGTCCCCGCCTCTTCTGCCGCTGCCTTCAGGATTCACAGTACAGGAGCTGCCCGTTTGCCAGTCAAATGACAGGGGACAGAGTCTCATCTCGGGCTGTTCGGGGAAACAGCGCCACCACTCGTCAAGATCAGACCGAGCGGAGGAGAAAATAAGGAAGAGGAGGTGGAGGAGGCAGGTATTCGGCGCTTGGTTTTCAAGGCTGCGTGTTCAGGATGAGCGGACGAGTCGGCGATCTGAGCCCGAAGCAAGCCGAAGCGCTGGCGCAGGTAAAGCCCGGAGCTCCGGAGGATCGCGCCGAGCCGCTCTGATCGCTGCAGTTCCTATTCATGCAAATACCTTGCTTTGTGGAAGCGAACTGGTTTCGTGGTTAACCACTGCTGAAGGCGCAGTTTTCAAAGGGAAGCGCTTTTTTATTCTCGTATATTGATTTGTACTCATTCATGTCTTCGTATTGCTCTCATTTGAGCACTTGCACGAAGCTCATCCCAGGTGCTGATAGTACTTCGCCCTGCGTATCGCATCCCTGCTGCGCAGTTTCCCTGATTTTCCCGTAACCGTCACATGAGCGCATAGAGACGCTGCAGCAGAGCCTGCTGCTCCCAGCACGGCCCCGGCAGGAGGGGGGCGTAAGGTTTACTGGCAACTCCCCTGTGGTCATGCACCTGTTCGGCGAACGTGTGTTAGGCATTTCAGCACCTTAATGTTGGGCACCATCTCTGACGAGCAGCTTCTAAAATGATCAGATTAAATATGCATAAATGTAACAAACCACACGCACTTCCTTAAAATCAGCTTACTAAAGGGATAATCTGCAAGTTGCTGATTCATTATATTTTGAAGTTTACGGTCGTGCTCTTTCGTGAGTGTTTCTTTCTTATCAGTAAACTGAGAAATGAAAGCTGTACAGTTATCCTCAATATGATGAAAGCTTCTGTAAATCTGCAGTGCTCTGGAGGGCTCCAGAGTTTACATTCATTTCTTCTTTCACTCTTTTTAAAGCCCGCCTGCCATCTATCTCATGTAATGTTTCTCTAATAACTTTGCCTGACTGCTTTTAAAATACCTTTCACGTTGTTGTCTTTTTTTTAAATGCCTTTCCGTCAGACTTGTGGCTTGATCTCTCTGCTCCTCTGTGTCCCTTCCAGCTTCGAGAGAGACTTCAGGATGTCATCGCTCAACTGCCAGCCCAACACGACCACTTCCTGCTTCGCTGGCTCCGAGGTAAGGACAGAAGTCAGTTGGAGGCCCACGGTCAGCTCTGTAGGGCTGGCATTTCTCATTTTTACAGACTGCAGGGATATGCTGCGTATCATTTTAGTGTTCTGTTAATCATGGAAACTGAGTGTAAAGATGCCAGGCAGCAGGCATCTTATAATCAAAGCATATTTGCCTGTTTGTATAGTTTATACTTTAAGATAAACTGTATCGATGCCAAGGGGAAATTCGTGAGAGAGACAACATGATGAGGAGGGGATTCAAACCCACACATGCAGAGCACAATCGGATAGCAGTCCATCACCTTAATAACCACAGAGCCACCTCATCTGTATGTAGTATGAGTCTGGATGGACTGAGATTTTATGTGTGATCTGTGATCATTATAAAGTATTTTAATGGTGTTGTACTTGTATTTACTTCTGAGCTAGCGTCACACAGGGTGTGTGTGTGTGTGTGTGTGTGTGTGATGTGTAAATAAACACCCTGCACCTGCGTATTAGCTGGCGGGTTAAAGGAAGCTGCCTCTAGACTGATGCACAGCTCAGTGTCTGTGACTCACTATAATCCTTGGAATAATCTCGTTAAAGGCGTAGCGCAGTAGTCCGTGTCTCCACGCCTGCTTCGGAGGGTCCCTGGGGCAGTATGCAATATGCAATTGTATGCAAGATTTTGACAGGGAGCGGATGATGTGTGTTCCTCACCTGGCACATTGTAGGGTAGTGATGACCACCACTTACATTATTGCCGGACTCTATAGGGCTGGGCTTTCAGCCTGGGGTCTGTGCAGCAGTTCCTGAGGTTTGCAGAGCCATGTTCTGTGATTTGATAAAATGCCAGTATTATTGTCAGTTTACATTTATGTGGCTCCCTGGGTTCAGATATTGTGCTTGTAATCAGAAGGTTGCTGGTTTAAATCCTATGGTAGGTAATGTGATTTTAATCTTGACTACTTTGACAGTATGTCACTTTGCATATAAACATCTGCTGCTTAAATACATCGATTGAATAGCTTAAATACATTGACGTCCTCTGTTTTACGAGATGCTGAAAACCCCTGCTGTGGAGACTTCACCTGCTGCTGTCTGTTTGAGTTTCATAAGACTGAGTTGATTCTGGTCAGATATAAAGCCTGGGGATAGATGATGTGGAGTGATGACCAGAAGGTTGTTAGTTCAGGTCCCAGAAAGGGTGTTTGGTTGGGGTTTGGGATGGACTGGAGCAGAATGGTGGTGTGACATGCTTTCCATGGGGGTGGGGGCTGCATCTGAGTGGTTGCTCCTACAGATTGGGCAGAGAGACATATTGAGAGGTATGCTGAGTACTGCTGAAAGTGAACTGAGCATATGAAGGAAGTTCAGACCAGCTTGCACATTTATGTTGATGAAACATTCACCACTTTATTAATATCGAAATTTGAAGCCCCCTCCCCAGAAGGGAGTGGCCACAGTCTGTCAGGTACACAAGAAAGCAGAATTCAGAAAGGTCGAAACTGCAGGCCCAAATCCTGTGCAATCGCACACACTAGCTTTTATAGTCAGATAAGCCTGATTTGATTCCTGCTTGTACTCAGCTGAACAGAGAAGGATTTAAATATGACTGAAGCTGAGCCTGACTGATCTAACAGCGTGTCTGTGGACACAGTGCAGATACTGAACAGCGTACAGATGTTTTCCTAATTAATATTTTTGGCAGGATTGTGTTAGACACCTGAAATGTAAGACAGGTTTCTTCAGTGGTGATATTTAAATACATTTGGAGGCTGGTAAAGTCTTGTGTGAAGTCTCTCTGTGAGGGTGACAGATTAATGTCATGTAAAATGGGTCACAGGGTGTCCTGAGCCATCTAATAGGATTAGCGGCAGCGAGCGGGACGGATCCAACAGGACTTGGCAGTGGGTGTCCGCCTGGGGTGTCTCACCATGTCTAAGGAGAGAAAGCTCTGACCTCCAGGCCTCATGTGATACATATGGCTGAATGCCGGGGAGTTTTAAAGCATCAGGCTGGAGCAGACCAGTGTCCACGGTCTTCCCAGACAGCAATGTTATGTTTGTGCTATGTTCCTGTTTATCAGTCCCAAGATTTTGCTAATTAGTGCTACATTCTTTGTTGTGCCACAGACTCCGATCCAAGGTCAGGGCTGCTTCACTGAGTTTAATTTTCCGTCTGATTTCAGCCAGAAACTTCAACGTGCAGAAAGCGGAAGTCATGCTGCGGAAGGTACCGCCGTCTTCCTCTCACTTCCACCCCGCTGTGATTAAGGCCACAAACTGTTGGCCGTGCCCTCCAACAGTGTCCCTTCAGTTCGATACGAAATGTGCGGCAGTGAGCACATTGCTGTTGTGAAACGGTCCTCTCTGTAAGTCTGTCATGAAGGCGCTCCATTCTTTCGTAAAAATACAGCACACAGGCACTTCAGTGTGTGGGACGCCTGTTCGGGCTGGACTCCTGTTTAAACAGCGCCCCATTATGTGTTTAATGTGCCTTCTGACTGGAGCAGCACCGGACTCCAAAGGTCATTGTGCTGCCTTTAAAATTGCCCGTATTCCACTTTAATTTCGATTACTCTTCATCCTCTGTATCCTCTGCTGTTTTATACGTACTTCTCTATACGTGTTGCTCCACCTTTGCAGCTGAACACAATAGTTTATAAATAGTTTTCGATACAATTTCAGACACATTCGAAGGGGACACGGGCCCAGATCTTAGGACACATCAAGTCTGAGATTCGTTTCATCAAACATGGGTTAGATCTCTAGGCAAAGCCGGAGATGGCCAATGGCTGTGTGCCGTGAGAGATCAGATCCTTTGCCTTCATGAGTGCTTACCATGAGCTGTTGCTGCTGCGCCAGTGAAAGAAAGAAATGAGGAAAGCCCCTGAGGCGTCTTCCTCGAAGCCTGTGTGAAACTGCTACAGTTTTTAGGACAAACCACCTGTCAACACATGAAAACTGGACATTAGCTGTTAACTAGTCAGCCTTCAGCGCCTCAGTTATTGTTTAGCAGCGTTCATATGCTAACTATGCTAACTAACCCTAATTGTGGTTTGTTTATCAGCATTTGGAATTCCGGAGACAGATGAAAGCAGACACAATAACCACGGAGTGGCGGCCCCCAGAGGTGTGGAGGACTGAGGCAGCTGGTCTGTCTCTTTCAGTATCATTTGGGCCAGAGACAGGGTCCGGCCATAGGAGGTGTTTGTAGCTCAGCCTACATGGTGTTGCATGTACCTCAGTCACAGTGTCACTTCTGATTAGGCGTCCGATACATGTGCAGGTGATCGAGAGGTACCTGCCCGGGGGCATGTGTGGCTACGACCGCGACGGCAGCCCCATCTGGTACGACATCATCGGCCCGGTGGACCCCAAGGGCCTGCTTCTGTCCGCCTCCAAGCAGGACTTTATCAAGACCAAGGTGCGGGACTGCGAGCTGCTGCGGGAGGAGTGTGACGCACAGTCGCAGAAGGTACGCGGCCAAATGCAGTAGGTGACAATTAGTGCAGTTTAAAAGCACTGCGACAGTCGATACAGTTTACCCTTAGCGCGCTACCTGAGCAACGATGTCACTTCCTGTCATTCAGCTCGGGAAGGTAGTGGACTCCATCACCATGATCTACGACTGTGAGGGCCTGGGCATGAAGCACTTGTGGAAGCCAGCCATTGAGACTTACGGAGAGGTGAGGCGTCGGGGCACGACCCCCCTTCCATCAGAACCGCAGAGGATCCAAAGTGCAGCTGATCACATAAACATAGACTGGGCTCTGTCCCTATAGGTCCTCACCATGTTTGAGGATAACTACCCTGAAGGCCTGAAGAGGCTGTTTGTCATCAAAGGCAGGTGTCTCCTTGTAATGTGCAGTATCACCTTGTGTTTGGAAGCCTGTCATTGGTCCTGTGGGAAGGGGGCGGGGTCTGATTAACTCCCCCTGCATGGTGCCTTCGCAGCCCCCAAGATATTCCCCGTGGCCTACAACCTCGTCAAGCACTTCCTGAGCGAGGAAACCCGGAGCAAGATCGTGGTCATGGGGGGTGAGGCGAGGCAGCCGCTCGGACCTGTCGGGCACGGTCGCTCCTCATGATGGCGCTCACGTCCTCCTGTCCCTCTCCCCCATAGCTAACTGGCAGGAAGTGCTGCAGAAGCACATTGAGCCGGAGCAGCTCCCCGTCGTGTACGGAGGCACCCTCACGGACCCCGATGGGGACCCGCGTTGCAGGACCAGGGTGAGTCGAAGCGGGCTGGGGGGGGTGTGCCATGACTAGCCAACCCCAGCATCTCCAGCCCAGCAGGTCCTCCCCTACAGGCCTTCACATGGTGTTCTTCACACTATGTGTCCTGATCGAAGGTCTGCTTGCGCCCCCTGTTGGTAGTTAAGCAGGCTGACTGTCTGTCACAGCATAGGCTGATTAACCCTCACAGTGAGTGAAGGTGCCAGCAGTGACCACATGCAGCTGGCGGGTGAGCAAGCCCCCCCCCTCCCACGGTGTCTCAGGCGTCTCTGGGTCTAAGATGCTGATGCCTCTGGGCCTCGTTTAATGTCACTGTGCTCATATCCCATATAAACTTAAGAAACACACACATGCCGGGTAAACATATCTTTTTGGGGACTGTTCATTCATTTCTGTGGGAAAAATGCTAACGCTAACTATGACAACCTTAACCCCTACCCAGCCCTAACCATAACCATAAGAAACCAAGCCAAATACAAGAGTTTTCGCATTTTTAGTTTTTTTCATTGAACTCACAGATTTTTATTTAATTGAGTTAAAAAAAAAAACGGGTATTCATCACGTTGTGGGGACATTGTGTCCCCATAAGGTAAGGTATACCTGCTCACACATACATACACACGCATACACACACACACACATACACACATCCATACACACAGACACCAGATGGTGTGTAATACATGAGATTAATGTAGGCTGTGTGAAGGCTGACTGTCTCAGCCCACTGGTGACGACCTCATAGGACTTAAAGGTTATTGTCTCATTCACCCCCTTGAAGCTGCCCTCTCCAGCCTCTGCGCCACCTGCAAAGCAGAACCAGTCTGCTGTAGCATTCCACACTGTCTGGCAGTGTCCTGTAGCATTCTGCAGTGTCCTGTAGCATTCTGCAGTGTCCTGAAGCATTCAGCACTGTCCCGTAGCATTTCACACTGTCTGGCAGTGTCCTGTAGCATTCTGCAGTGTCCTAAAGCATTCCATACTGTCTGGCAGTGTCCTTTAGCATTCTGCAGTGTCCTGTAGCATTCTGCAGTGTCCTGAAGCATTCAGCACTGTCCCGTAGCATTTCGCACTGTCTGCCAGTGTCCTGCAGTGTTCTGCAGTGTCCTATAGCATTCTTTCTTTATAATTTAATAAGCTAAGCACTGTAGTTATGACCTTGTTATTATATGATCACATTTGTTGGCTAAGTGAATTTGTGTTTACTTAGTATTAGTATTAGATAATATAGGTTTTAACAGCAATTCTTAACAGGCAACAATAATACACTCAATTAATCAATAAGATTTCATCACTCAAGTTCACCACTTGGTTATTTTAATAAGAATCAAAACCAACATGGAAAGAAGCTGTCTGCCTGGATGCTGTCCTCTTCTCCATAACCGAGATCCCCCGACAAATGTTCACCCTCTCTCTGTTTGATTTGGGATCACTGAAATGCTCAGTGGAGGAAGGCCAGTTAACTAGGAGCGGGGCTCTGACTGGGACCAGTACAGACTGTGGCTTTACAGGCTGTAAATATATGAGACATACAATGCTCTGTATCTTACAGCCTACTTTTGTATTTTATTTGAAGAAGTCCTCCAAGTTCTTCAGTTAATTTGTTATTTTATCTCTGACTATTCTGGCTATGAGGTGCAAAGCATGCTGGTTAATGGTCTGGTAGCTGCCTGACTGGGCGTGATGTGAATCCTTGTGCCCATAGATGCACAGATAAACGGCCCGCCTGGACCTGAGGATTACTCTGTCATGCTGTGCCAGGAGGGATCCCTTATGGGACACTTTTGAGGAGCTGCCTTCTCGGAGAACTCAGCTATGGACAGAAATTGAACTCCTTTCCCCAGTGGTTAAGAAATGGACCCCATTTCCCTGACAGTGTGTCAGGCAGCTTGAGGTTTTCTGGTGTTTTAATCGTTTCCTGTGAAGCATTTATAAGAGGTGCTGACATAGTGTAGTGCTGCACATGCTGTCCTAGTTCAGCTTTGTGTCTTGGAAATGGACGTCTGCAGTTAGCGGCTTGCTCTTAGTGTAGCGTCCTCATTATTGGCTATAGACTAGTCAGGACGTAGCTGAAGGACAGTCCAGCTGAAGTGGTCGTGAAATCTGCTCATTTGCATCCTGGGTGTCCAGTGCAGACCTCCGTTGTGTCAGGTCTGACTCAGAGGGTTCCAGAAGGAGGGCCAAGCGGTAGCTCTGAGGCCCAATTTCTTGTTTCCAATAATGACCAGATGTGTGACACGTTCTCAGACGAGTGTGTGTCTGTGCGACACCAAGACACAGCTTCTGAAAGCTTCTGAAAGCCGTCTGCAGCTGTCTGGCTGGGAAACAAGCCGCCCCCCCTCCCCCTTCCTGTCTCTCTCACTCTCATTGTAACTGTGGTGAAACTCTTGGTTGCACACAAATAAATGAAGCAGATTTCACAGGCCTGTGGAAAACTCCCTGCTCAGTTTTCACACCACATGCGGAGGACTGTCGCAGTGCTTTTAAACTGCACTAATTGTCACCTACTGCATTGTAACTGGTGGTTCTGAAACATCTCACATGAAAGTCAAACCACCAGCTCTGAGACCCTGTACCTGTGTCTCACAAGGATGATGTCACAGAAAAAGAAATGTCATGTGCAATGAAGGTGTGCCCTCAGTCTTTTGAGTACATGTGTGCATCGCACTCTCATCTTGGTCTTTTGGGATGCTGTGGATGTCTCTGCTAGCTTTGAGGATCTAATGAGGAGTATGGATAATGTAGTATGTGTAAAGTATGTGTAAAAGTAGTGCAGAAACATATTGGTAAGACTATATAATTAAAAATGTGATTTCCCACAATCCTCCCCTTTGAGCATTAATCAAAACATTATACGATGCGTAACACAAGCAATCCATGATCACAACAAACACCTGATGGGCCGGTTCAGACACTTTCTACTAACAGATTACGAATCTGCAGGTCTGACACCTCAGTCCATGTACCAAGCTTTGAAAATTATTCAAAATACATGATTTCCCACAGCAGTGATGGACGTGGTGAGTGTCCCAGCCTCCATAGTTCAGCTAAAGGAACATTCATTGTGTTGCGACTGTCACTGGATTTAGATGCTGACCTTTTTCCCCTCTTATTGTGATACCATGACACACGTGGGATGCGCTTTCTGGCACCAGGTGAAGTGCGGGGGCCAGGTGCCCGGGATTTACTACGTGCGGGAGTCCGTCAAGGTGCAGTACGAGCGCAGAGTCTCCATCCGGCGCGGATGCTGCTACCAGCTGGAGTACGAGGTCCTGATTCCAGGCTGCATGCTACGGTGAGCGTCTCTCTGTCAAACCCCCCCCCCCCCGCCTCGGCTAGCCCAGCAGGCCTAGGTCTGCAGCCACACCTTCTCTCCTCTTCCCAGGTGGCAGTTTGCGAGTGACGGGGGAGACATTGGCTTCGGGGTCTTCATGAAGACCAAGCTGGGGGTGAGGCAGACAGCGGCAGAGATGGTGACGGTGCTGCCAAGTCAGCGGTATAATGCCCACCTGGTGCCTGAGGACAACTTACTGACCTGCGCCAATCCGGGTGTCTGTGAGTACGGATGGGGTGACACTTTCATACCTTATAACAGGCCTGGTTATTGTTTGACTGTATAAGAATGTCAATGAAAAGTCGGAAAATTCTTAGAAATTGTATAATGGAACCTGCACACAAACTAAATTGGCTCTTTCCTCTCTAGATGTGCTGCAGTTTGACAACACCTACAGCATGTTCCATTCCAAGAGGGTCAGCTTCTCTGTGGAAGTCTTGTTGTCCAACAGCCAATCGGGGCCTGAGAAAAGCAGAAGTGGGGCTGGATTGAAGATGGAACTGTGTGCAGACAACCAATAGCTGGAACGAGGATGGAGATGACTGACGCTGCTGTGAGCCTATGAGCTGAGCTCATCTGAGCTACACTTCGGCACAGCGATAGCCCACTTTAAATGCTGCTCACAACCAGTAGCCTGGTCTTCTGCAGGCACTGGTGCACTGGTAAACCAGTATACAGTAGTAAAAGATACTGCACTGTAAAAGTCATTTTACTTGAAAGTTTCAGTATGTTAAAGAAACTTAGGTACAGCTCTGGAGAAAATTAAGAGACCGGAGTAAAATTTCCAGTTTCACTCATTTCTCAATTTATGGGCATGCGCCTGTGTAAAAGTATTATTTTTTTTTGCCAAACTCCAGCCTGGCTCTTCCCTGCTTCTCATTGATGCCTTACTTTATGGTCCTTCATTCGTGCTTCTAGGAGCCTGATATGAACTGTCCTAGCAGTGCACTTCACACCTGCACTTAATGTTTCCCATTCCTTCTGAAGGTCACTTGAGGACATCCTCTGATTCATGTGGCACTGCCAGATAAGTTGACGGTCATCTCTAGCATTAGAAAGTTGCTTCTGCCCTCTACCTGGCTGGTTTTAAGTCATTGCCAGTGTCTCCTGCTTCTGTTTGTTTTTGTGTACTGCTGTCTTTGAGCCTGGAAGCTCCTCGCAGTGTTCTGCAGCCTTCTGCCAGCAGAAGCAGGATTAAGCCAAGATTTAAAAATGCAATTAAAAAAAAAATATAGAGTGGTCTCTTAATTTTTTCCAGAGATATATACTGGCGAATGTACAAACCGTGTAAGTGTACACACACAGTCTGTGGCCACTAATAAGTGACTTGGCCCTTTAAGTGAGCAGTTGGTGTCTCAGTCTATGCTGTCTGTGTCATGGATGTGCATTTTGAGGTGGGCTGACTGAGACTGTGGACTGTTATCTTGTGTTCAGCTAGGGCGATTGTGCCCTGCGATGGGTTGGCTCCCCCTCCTGGGTTATTCCTGGCGTTGCAGCCATAGCTTCCGGGATAGGCTCCGGACCCCCAGCGACCCTGAATAGGACAAGCGGGTACAGAAAATGGACGGATTGATGGACTTCCTCTGTCCTCACCCTGACTGCAGGGAGAGGAGGTTTGCTAAATGCTGTTCACATCCCCTTTTTTGTGAAGCATTTATATATTTTTTTAAGTATAACTTGAATGAAATGCAATAATGAAATTATACACTTTGCAACTGTGGCTAATTAAGCAGTTTGAGAATGCAAGTTAGCTGAGAGGATGCTGTCTGAATGATGTAACATTTAATGAGTGTGCACTTCTGCTGTTATCTTGCCGTTTGCTGGTCACATGCCAAGATGTCAGTGCCTGTGTGCTCACAGTCTCCAAAGACATGATAGGAAAATGAGTCGTCACATATTTTAATTAACACCTGTGACGACAGTACAATTTAGTACAAATTTCAGAATCGCTCTGCGTGAGACACTGTCGGACTTTCTGCAGAACGCTAAGCAGGTTCTGATGATATGATGATCTCTGGTTGTAGCACCCCCTATAGGGAGGGCTGTGCAAGTCCACATATCTTTGCTTCGTTGGACCAGCGAGGTTAATATAAAATATAACACAAATAAAAGTGTTTGCTGCTGACGTTCCTGGAAAGGAAGGCCTTCTGTGCCCCATGTGCCTCTTTGCCTCACTCATCTTCACCTTCTTCCATGGTGGTGTCACACCTGGGTTTGCCTGGTCTTCAAGTCTCTGCACACACCTGCATGGAGCAAAGATACAGGTCATGGAGCAAAGATAGAGGTCACTTTATCATCTTTAGTCATCTTCCTCCGGCTGTGGTCAAATCCTCAACATACTCAGAACCAGAGTTGGGTAAACCAGTTGAGTACTCTGTGACTGTGACTCCTTATGCTCAACTGGCTGGTTGAAACAAAATCTTGGTCTGAATTTTTACACTATGGACCTGAATTACCCAACTCTGCTCAAAACAGACAAGCATACAAACATAAATACTGTTACACAGTCTATACAACGTAAACATTATGATGAGAATGGTGTGCATTGCAGGATGCACACGCTATTCTGTGTACTGAACACCTGAATCTGGCTCATAAATACAAGGCTGATTAAGACCTTCTGTCCGGTAAGACTGCAGTTGGTTCAAGTGATTATAGACCAGACTTTGGTAGCTGTTTGCTACCTTTTTGAATGCAAATCGTAGTTGTGTGTTTATTTGTTGCATGTATACAGACTGATGCTGGACAGGCCTGGTTCTACTGAGCCTCAAGCACTTCAATGAAATCTAGCAAAGAGCAGAAGGGGTATGCTCAGTTGGAAATGGTGTACATAGCCTGGGAGCTGCTGCCATCTAATGGCCAAAAATGTCAACTACTTTTATTATTTTTGTTATTATGTTTTATTTATATAGTGATAGCTGGTGAAGGCAGAATGCAATTGATTATCAAAGGGATCTGACATCAGGGCCTGGGATCTCTGACTCCTAGGCTTCCCCCACAGTCAAGGGTGCGGTTTGTGGGGCAGTATGAGGTTCTGCGGCTTGGGTATCTGTGTCCATAGTAGAGAAAGCATATCGCCCTTAACTACAAAAGCTGCTCCTAGGGTGTTGGATAAATGGCTGAGCCTGTGCTCTGTCCGCAAGCTTTGAAATTCCTGTGCACCTGTACTTATACAACTCATAATATTTTATCAATCTCAGCAGTAATGGTGAGATTCCTGGTTACAGAAAACAAGGGCAGGGGCATCACACTGTCGATCAGCATTTCCTCTTCAGCTGTGCATTTCATGAAATTAATTTTTCCACTTGGGCTGGAAGTCAAATGGAACATAGCAAAACATGTGATTTTCAAATCCACTGACTCTGTTTTTTAATCAGTGAGTGTGCAATATTTGTTTACTAGAAAACTGAAAAAAAATCCATTAGCTAGGAAAATGGGGATCCCTAGAGACAGCATGTAAAAACTGTCTGTGTGAGTATGTGTCTGTCTGTGTCTATGTCTCTGTGTTTGTCTGTTTCTCTGTGTCTTCACTTGGGTGCGTATCCTGTCAGCTCCTGCCGTATGTTTGGTATGCAGCTCCACTAAGTCTGTCCTGACCAGTCTTCACACCCTCAGGCCTTTCTCCACATTCTCAGACCAGTCCTGACCAGTTTCCAAATCCCCAGGCCTGTTACAACCAGTCACCACTCCCTAGTCCAAAACAATCACACTCCCCTTAAATGTGAGGTACAGTGTAAATGTACATATTTGATTTTAAGCAACTTAGAAAAAGCAACCATTCAGATTCAACATTACGAATATAAAAGACTGAAAGATGTATGTGACTAAAACACAGAACACTGCAGGAACTCTGTGAAAGGTAAAGACACGAGTGTTTAACTGGTGAGAGGTTCTACTTCTTTATTAATTGATACTGCAGTCATTGGTAATTACTGTCCCCCAGTAGGTGGTAACGTCTCCCAGAATCCTCCCTGCTTGTTCTGCTTAATTTCTGTCGGCTAGTTACACACCATTCTGACATTGCTTGTGTGTGAAAGTAACATTTAAATTTTCTCATGACCTTGTTCTTTTGGATTACATTAAGACAACCTCTTTGCACAAAAACAAGTTAAGACCATGTAAGATCGGGAGCTGGGAGGGAGCAAAAAATGTGAACTGTCTAACGGAGCTACAGTAGGAGGGAGCAAAAAAATGTGGACTGTCTGGCAGGGAGGGAGCAAAAATGTGGACTGTCTAGGAGTCCCTGAGGAATAGATTGAGAAACACTGAGTTAAGGTAAAACAAACATTACACATTATAATATAAACAAACACTCATTACTAACAGGAAACGTTTCCTTTATAATTGTATGCTTTTCCTCTTAAAACAATTTGTACAACACCCTTGAGTCAGGCCTGCGCCTCTATAAAGTGCACATTACTAATAAACTTTACTGCAGCTACTTTTAAATCATATTTATATTTTACTACTTTAACATCATTCTATTTATTCTTTACTACCACAACCCTTATACTGGTCAGGGCGACAGGGGTCTCGAGCCTATCCCAGGCAACACCGGGGTATGGAATACTAAGGCTAGGCTAAGGGAAGCGCCACATAACTCAGAAAGGTGGAGGGAGTAACGCCTGGGACCGTAAAAGAACGATGGAGGAACAAACAGATGTGACGTCCCAGACTGTAACACAAGAGGGCGTTGCGACAACGCCCAAACGCCGCAAGGTTTTTTATATATATATATATATAAATAAAATAGCAGACTAACTAAATGGGTAATTCCCTGGTTTAATATCTAACACCAGAAATATTCAGAAACAGTTCTTCAGAAGTGTCATATAACACCAAAGTCAAAAGAAGCTTCATACTTGCTCAAAGATGACAGCAGTGACTTCGCACACCCTCGCTGTTATTACAGCTTGGTCAGTACTGAGCGGTTGTATCCGTATCAGTGACAGACATGGGCGCTCTGCAGCTGAACCCCGCCGTTTCGGGATGATTGTACGGAGGTTTATGGAGAGTCCAGACCTTCATAAGTAACCGTTTCAGTACCAGCTTTATTTTTACGGAAGTTATGAAATGTGCTTGTGTGCTGTCGCTGCTATGGAGATATATAAACAGGTTGATATTTTTGCCATACGTCACTGTTTCAACAGTAAGATTTCCCTCAGACTTAGGTTGAATGGCCAGTCCATGCCAGTAACCACTGTGCCGGTCAGTACGAAATCTAGAAAGCCATAAGCGGACCAGGCAGAAGGCTGCAGGTACGAGAGCGTGAGCCAATCAGCGGCTGCCATAGGAGATGACGTAACGTTTACAGCCGGGTTCGGGGGCAGCATAGAAGTACTTATCTGTGATGAGGGGTCGGACTCACCGCGTTTATAAAAACGTGACATTTTAAGTGAAAACACAATGCTGGAAAATCAGAAGCGCTAAGTAACATTTTTATGGTGTTAAATATTAAAGCAAGGAAATGACCCAATTAGAACTGCGTGGGCTACGACCATAGGCTACGATCAAGAAAAAGATACAGATTTGTATTGAGAATATTTTCCATATGAATTTATTTACCATTTTGTAGATGACTTCAGCCCCACCCACCTCGGCGGTGACATTTATTTCGGAAAAAAGCAGCATGAGTTAAAGTAAAATGAGAGGCGTCTTTCCGTGAAGTTTATTCGCCTGAATTAATTTTAAGTTACAAGCAGGAGACAGCGACCACCCGCCACATCCTCCGCAAAGGGGGCGGACGGGCTGTCAATGACGTATTCGGTCGGTGTTTATAAGGGCGTGGCTATGCCAATAAGGGGGCGGGATTGTATGAAATGAATAGGTGACGTCAGATCCCTGCTCGCAGAGAGTGTGACAAACATGGCGACGGGACGGATCGCTCAGGGGTATATTCTAACTTTATTGGTGTTTTTCTGGACTGTGGCAGCGGGACTGGCCGAGGCGGCACTAGCCGGAGTTAGCGGCAGCCGGATCCTTGGCATGCGCCTGGAGTGGAGTAACAAGCCGGCGCTGACTACCAACGACGGGGTCATCCAGGTAACCGAGGAGAGCAATGTCAAGCTCAGGTTTTACGGGGTGCATATGAACTCCGGCACCTGGGAGCAGATTAAGTTTACGGAGCGCGGAGACGGCAGAGAGCTCGAGCGCGACTCCGATAGGAACTGTACCGACTTCACTAAGGACTTCAGCATCGACAAGTTTATGAACGTTAGCAATCTGGACACCTCGGGGGTGCTGAACATGGTCATCAAGCCGCTCCGCAAAAGCGAGCCGCGGAAAGAGTATGCTTTGTGCGTCAAGCAGGGTACGGACTACAGGTGGTCCCTGCTGGGTGAGAACGACGGCAAGCTGCTGGTGGTGGAGGAGAAGAAGTCACTGCTGCCTTTGTGGTTCCAGGTGATCCTCATCGCCTTCCTCCTGGTGCTGTCTGGCATGTTCAGTGGTCTCAACCTGGGGCTCATGGCCCTAGACCCGATGGAGCTCCGCATCGTGCAGAACTGCGGTACAGACAAGGAGAAGAAATATGCTCGTAAAATCGAGCCCATCCGCAGGAAAGGAAACTACCTGCTCTGCTCCCTTCTGCTGGGGAACGTGCTGGTGAACACCACGCTCACCATCCTGCTGGATGGCCTGATTGGCTCCGGCTTGGGTGCCGTGGTGGCCTCCACTATTGGCATTGTCATCTTCGGCGAGATCGTGCCCCAGGCCCTCTGCTCACGCCACGGCTTGGCTGTGGGCGCCAACACCATCTTAGTTACGAAACTATTCATGCTGCTCACATTCCCGCTCTCCTATCCCATCAGCAAACTGCTGGATTATGCTCTGGGCCAGGAGATTGGGACCGTGTACAACCGGGAGAAGCTGGTGGAGATGCTGAAAGTGACGGAGCCTTACAACGACTTAGTGAAAGAGGAACTTAACATGATCCAGGGCGCTTTGGAGCTACGGACCAAGACCGTGGAGGACATCATGACACCGCTAAGCAACTGCTTCATGATCCACAGTGATGCCGTCCTGGATTTCAACACCATGTCTGAGATCATGGAGAGCGGTTACACCCGCATCCCAGTCTTCGAGGACGAGAGGTCCAACATCGTGGACATCCTCTTTGTCAAGGACTTGGCCTTCGTCGACCCGGATGACTGCACGACCCTGAAGACCATAACCAAGTTCTACAATCACCCGGTCCACTTTGTCTTTCATGACACTAAACTAGACGCCATGTTGGAGGAGTTCAAGAAAGGTTAGTGTCCCGTTTGGTTCATGGTGGGACGGGGGGGAATTGAGGAGGGGGCAATCCTGTTTGTTCAGTCCTGTTTGTGCATGTTCTGCATACCTGAAATGAGCAGATCCTTCCACGGGGCTGCATCGCCCCAGGGTGACCTACTCAGGACCATCGGTACCTCATTTTCTGACTTCCTCTGAAACCAGAGAAGACAGCATGTTTCCAGGTCATCTCCTCCTGCACTTCTCACACCAATGAGTCCTTTTCTGGGACAGGCCTATTGCTTTAAAGGTCATTATAAATACCACAATTTTTCCTGTGGACCTCGTTGTCCTTTCTGTGAAGCAGCCCTGTGTTCAAAGTCTCTCAATCTATGTGTTGAACACGTCACACATTTCTGAAGCTTCATGGTTAGAGGGGTTTTTTATTGTGGACTGTCATTCTTTTTTTTTGTTTATTCTGTGGGTGCTTCTGTGCTTGACTCCCAGTAGGCAGGGTGATGCCGCAATGTGTGGCTCTGTGGGTTAGGAATCTGTGCCTTCTGTGTGGGTGGTTGTTGGTTTGAATCCCCTCTCTGACAGAATGATGTCACCGGTTGGGCCTTTGAGCGTGTACTGGCTGACCCTGTAAATACCACTAAATAAACAAATGTATGTTTGGGTGCCTTGCTTTTTTTAGGCCGGTTGTCAGTCAGATCTCCGCAGAGGACAGCTGGTCTCTCTGTATGAGCCCCTCCCAGCCTGGCTCGGTTCCTCATAGCCAGTTTGACCAGCACGTGGAGATCCACGGGCCTCTCTTCCAGCCCTGTAGACGACCCTCCCCACCACCACTCACTCTTAGGAGCTGGCAGGTGTCGGTGAAAAGCTACCTCACTCACCGCTGGAATCTGACCCCCCAAGTGGAGAAGATCCACTCTATTCAGCTGATCTGCTCTCCCTTTCCCTCCTTAACTAATTATTTACCGTGCGGCACTGTTGCTTGGGGGACTTTGTGCATTTCCTCTCTGAGGTTAAAGGGCATGTGACAGAGGCTTGCTGCTCCAGCCTGGGCCGCTCTGAAGCGTCACACCCATGTGTTGTGACTGGCTGCGTTTGTCTACATGGAAGGATTCCCTGGGGCATGGCAGTCACGGTTTCCACGTGACACGGACGCCTCGTATCCGCTGGCACTGCTCCACACACTGGTGTTTGTTTGTGCGAACAAGCTGGATTTTACCCATAATTCAATCTGCCTGTCTGGGATGGTGGTACGAATCTGTGCTTGAGCCCATTCGTCATTCATTAATAGTGCAGCAGTTGCCAGCAGTTTGGTAAAGTAAGCAGTTAAATAATTCATTATTACTATTTAGGGTCGGGAAGTGGCCTGGATGCCATTAGAGTACCCTCCATGCCTTGGCTAGGCCTGATTGGCTAATTAAGCAGCTTTGTCTGAGCCGGTCGCTGCTTTGCCTCGTTTATGAGCAGTTTGGTCTGTTCTGACACGTGAGGCGTCCTGCCTGACAGTGATCCACACAAACCACTCCAGCCCCACCTCCTCGTCTCCCTCCTTACCCACTTCCTGCTCTGTCTGTGTTAATGCAGAGTGACTCTCTCTCTCTCTCTCTCGGCCACCGCAGATCATGCATGTGGCCTTAGTCTCTTCCTCATGAGTCTTTTGGGCGTTTACTTCGACCTCTCGAGAAAGGAGAGGATCATTTCATTGTGATGCAACAAATTTCCAAAAGCATTTTGCCTTTGCCATTTTTGATTTTGATGGAATGTGGCATCTGATTCCCTTTGAGATATAGTGCCTTTTGTATACTACAGGTAGTAAAAAAGTTATTGAAAATTTGTGTTTTCTTAAGAGCTATGTCTTTTTCATAATACAGCTACATGGCTCAACTGTGGGTCATAGGAAAGCTCAGAGTAGTTTCTCATGTTGGGGTCAATATCACGGCATAGTCAAATTCAATTTTTGCATAAGTTTTCTTGTTTTGCTTTAAGTTTTCTTTATTAAAAATTGAAGGGCTTGGAGTAACAACTGCATTTTTTATAATGAAATATACATCGGTGTACTACATGTATTTAAAACAATCACCTGTTATATGGTCCTCTTCATGAGAAAACTATTAATTCTTGTTATTAAAAGTAGGGTAGGAGTTTGGAGCGTCTGAATTTACAAAAAATCACAGAATCTACACACTAATCTCACTCTTTTAAATCAATTATTTCATAAAAATTGCCCAACATGTACCTGAAGTGTAGCTGCAGTGTAGCCAAAAGTGTAGAAGTAGAAGTGTTTTGGGAGATTTTTCAGAGAATTTCTCCTTTGTCTTGCAGGATAAAGTCCTGACATTCCACTGATCAGGGTGGTATGTCTCAATGGGAATTTTAAAAAAGTACACAAAAAACATTTCTGAGCTGTAAAATGTATCTGTAATTCACATGCAAAATTTAATCAAAACCAGAAATTATTATGCAAAGGCCAGTTGTCAAATTATAATGTAATTACCCAAGAGTAATATATTCCAAGCTGGACTGGGCCAGATCTGAGTACAGGTACTGTGTGGGAGATTACCCCACAGAGCTGAGTGTAGTCACTGCGTGTGTGAGAGATTACCCCACAGAGCTGAGTGTAGTCACTGCGTGTGTGAGAGATTACCCCACACAGCTGAGTGTAGTCACTGCGTGTGTGAGAGATTACCCCACACAGCTGAGTGTAGTCACTGCGTGTGTGAGAGATTGCCCCACACAGCTGTGTGTGTGAGAGATTGCCCCACACAGCTGTGTGTGTGAGAGATTGCCCCACACAGCTGTGTGTGTGAGAGATTGCCCCACACAGCTGAGTGTAGTCACTGCGTGTGTGAGAGATTACCCCACACAGCTGAGTGTAGTCACTGTGTGTGTGAGAGAGAACCACGGTTTAACACAGCAAACTCTGAGCAGTTACACAGCTGTGCGTTAGATAGCTGAGAATGAACAGAGTCTGTCTATCTGAGACTCTGCCTGCTCGTGTGTCCTGTCTCAGCATGTGCCTGTATTTCGTGTGGTTATCTCTCTCTATCAGTGAGCATGTTTGTGTCTGTTTTCCTGCCACTATGGTTTTTATCCTTTTATCTCTCCCCCCAGCCTCATTAACCTTTGACCTTCTCTCCCATTATGCCTTACACACGCCCACCCTGAGAATCCTGCTCCCTATGAGATAATCCCGGAGCCACACCCCAGTTTATCACCTGGCAGAGGTTCTCCTATGGTTCCCATCAGCCTTCCGCTTCTAATGTTACAGATGCTGTTTACAGAGGAGGGGGACGTGGCCTGGTTTGGGCGTCACGCTTCATGTGTTTGTCCGCGTCGATGCCTGAAGCTGGTGGTGCAGAGCGTCCCTCCTGCTGACTCTGCCTTCTTTTCCACCAATCTTCCACTTTCCCTTCCCATTTTCAGTTTATTTCAGTCCATGGTGGAGGGGGGGATCCAGACAGAGCTGTCTACCGGTGAGGTGGTCACATGACCCCTCCTGAATATGCCAGCGATCGCGTAATGCATGAAGTTGTGGCGTTTGGCCTGACAGGTTTGCAGTGTGCTGTGACCCCCCCCCCCTGAGCCCAGTCGGGTGGCAGCCCTGGAACGTCCTGCACCACTTGTCTTAATCACGATGGCTGTGTGTGATTTGCGGGGTCCAGGGAGCCCCGGGGCCAGACAGGGGACCTCCAGCTCCCGCCTTTCGTTTGCGTCTGGGCGGCTCAGCTGTCGCCCGTGTGTCGTGGGAAGTGAAGGGCTGACATGCTTGTTGTCTCTCACCTGCGAGGACGTGGCCCTTGAGGGAAGCGGGAGAGAGATGGGTGGTGGGGGAGGCCATGTCCGTATTGTTTGGGCCACGATGCAGGTGACTAAGCAGAACTGGTTTGCTGAAATTCACCACAGTCATGCAAGAGTGAGTGAGGCTTTCTGTGATCATGTTTCTGTGTATATTTATGATTGTGTGTCTGTGATTGTGTGTTTTAGTGCCCGTCATTGTGCTTGACTCAGTGTGTGTTATCCCTTCTCATGCGATTCTTCAGAAATAGCAATGTTTAGGTCGCCACGTGAGTTGAAAATCAATTTTTAAATATCAGTTTAAACATAGGTTACCGTAATTAGGCTGGTCACATTTGCTTGTGGCCTGATTTTGTTAAGGGACTGACACGCAGCAGTCTGTTGTGGTGCTATCATGAATGAGCAAGCATGCAGAGACTTTTCAAACTCTGCCTCAATTTAAATCCAAATTTTGGGCAAACTTTGGATTCTGTGAAGTAAGAACAGCAACAAGTACTTGAGCATTTAAATACCTGAAAGTGCACTTCAATATACGAAAGTGTACCTGAGTGCTTAAGATTGAAGGCAGAGATGTATTTGAATATTGGTAGATCAAAATTTGAATCCCTTTTAATACGTGCCAAAACCAGCATGCAGCTGAATACAGCGTGCGTTGTACAGCATGCAGTACATTTTTCACAATGTTGTTATATTTCCACACAGTTGTATGTACTTGTTTTTCTGATTGGGGGTGGGTAGCATATGTTCCCAGATTAGCTGCACAATACTCGAGTACTTGTTTATTTCCATGTCGGGTACTGGAGCACTAAAAATGACTGTAATTCACATCTTTACTATAACGTGAACAGACTGCTGCACGTGAATAAGGCTATCTGCAAGATTTACTGCGGTAAGACCACTAACACTCATGGTCATCTACCCTGACACCACGAGTAGAACGACCACAAATTCGCAGTAACACGTGCGAGACAAAATCCCTCGACACGACTTTATATAGTAGCTCAGTAAAGGCTCTGTAATGTAAGAAGAAGCAGTCTTTGCTAGACGTGTAAGAATTCAGTCCGTTTTCAGTACCGCAGGGAAACAATTTGTTTTGAAATTGTTTATTATTATTAAAACCACAAATACAATTATGAACAGCTGTAACTAAGTATAAAGTAATGTATCTGTCCAAGTGTCTGAAAAATATGTCATATTGTTTCAACCAAACAGTTGAGTATAAAGAGTCACAGTCAGAGTACTCAACTGGTTGGTTGAAACTAAGTCTTGGTCTGGATTTGTGCTTTCTGAACTTGAACATTTCACCTTCGGATAGCAATAAACACCTGTATTAGCCGTCGTTATTTTTTAGCCTGGTTTGAATATCCTGACAAAGGCGCCTTAAATGGTTCCGAGAGCCTAATCTTCGGTTCCTTCCTTCCTCTGGTTGTGTACGCACTCAGGTGATCTCGTCTCAAATGAGATAGCATGTTGGGTGTATTTCCAGCAACATATCCGAGTGCGTTATAGCCGAGCCGACAAAAGTCTTGGTCTTACGAACTGCTCTCTGTCCAATGTTGGTTTAATTTAAAGGGAAACCAAAATGTTCCCAAACCACTGACTATGACTGACTGCAACCATCTTTAGCCGTAACCAGCTCCCAGCACCAGCACAATGTTTTTTCATGTTCAACATCTACTTGTGAATTTAGATTCCACGTGTGTTAAGAAATGTATTTATTTAGTTTCATTGTGCACTCAACTGAAAAAGATGAATACGTATACCATCCTTACGAGATCTGCCGATAGATATCGAATCAGCAAATAAATATTGATGTAATATCAAACTGGGAGGTTTTTGCCAATTCCCACTACTGCCGATTAACAGGTGTGTGTGTGTGTGTGTGTGTGTTTGCCCGTCTCAGGTAAATCACACCTGGCCATCGTGCAGAAGGTGAACAACGAGGGTGAGGGTGACCCTTTCTACGAGGTGCTGGGCCTGGTCACACTGGAGGACGTCATCGAGGAGATCATCAAGTCTGAGATCCTGGATGAGTCTGACCTCTACAGTGAGCGCCCCGCCCCCCCCCCCACGGGTCGCCCTGCTGCTCCTGGTCGCTGCCCCTCAGTGGTCTCCTCAGGAACCTGGGCACTCATTTAACTAAGCAAAACTCAGCTTTGTGGCATAACAGGGTGGGAGGGGGGGGGGCGGTCTGCAGCAGTTTTCCCAAGCAAAGAGCAGCAGATTCTTATGGGGAGGGGGGCAATCCAGGAGCGACCCTGATTCCCCAGCTTCTCCCAGGGAGATATTTCTGCTGTTTCCACGCGAGTTACCAGGCTGTCATTTAAGTGCCACCATTTCCCTCATCCAGCCGATAACCGCAACAGGAAGAAGGTAGCTCACAACAAGAACAAGCGCGACTTTTCGGCGTTCAAACACGAGAGCGAGTCCAAGGTGAAGGTCTCCCCCCAGCTGCTTCTGGCCGCCCATCGCTTCCTGGCCACAGGTGGGGGGGTCGTGTGCCCAGCCGCTCCCGTTATGTAGACCTATGAAGTGTCTCATTTGACCCATCCGTTCATCTCCTGGCCTCACTTCACTGTCCTTAACTCCAACCCCCTGCAGAGGTGATCCTCTTCAGTCCGTCGCAGATCACGGAGAAAGTCCTGCTGCGTATTCTCAAGCACCCCAACGTCATCCAGGAGATCAAGTTCAACGACAGCAACAAGCGCTCTCCCCACCACTACTTGTACCAGCGTGGGAAGCCTGTGGACTACTTCACCCTCATCCTGCAGGTACTCTGCTCCGCGCATCCCAGGCTGGGATAGCAGGGAGTCCAGGCATATGCAAGGCTTGATGGGCCTGAAGGTCAAAGGTTAATGAGGTTAGGGGGAGAGATGGATAAAAACCATAGCGGCAGGTTTGGTCCAGAATTACCCAGCCATTCCCACAATGCCTGGTGTTTATTGCACCCGCCTGCTTGCTGGGTGGTGTGAGACACTAATGTGTGAGGTCACTCCTGCTGCAGATCGTGTCTTAGGAACAGTTCCCCTGGTTACTGTTTCCATAGTTGCAGCCAGGACTCAAGGGTCCAACATCTGTGCCCTGTAGGGATCCTGTAATCAGTGGATTGGTTATAAAATATCCTGCTTTGTTTCTCACACACACACACACACACACACACACACACGGGATCCCCCAACAGTCCTTCTCCCTCTACGCTTCCTGTTGGCCATCAAAATGCTGCTGTGTATAGGAGGGTGTCTGCGCAGTGCGTCACTGACCATGGCTGCATTTGCGTGGGCCTATTCTGTCATTTTTGTCCCCTAAACAATAATTTGGGTGGGGGGGGGGGTCCCTAAGGCCCTCCCATACTCCATACTCCTCCACATGATGCCCCCAGCCCCATACAGCCATGTGTCAGTCTGTGGGCACAGATTCCTCAGAGCCCTGGCGGAAGGCTGAGTTTCAACTAATTGCATCATTTTCTTAAATGTGATAGATGTGGGTGTTACTGTGTGCGAGTTCAATCAGCTTGTAGGTCTGTATGTATGTGTGTGTGTGTGTGTGTGTGTGCGTGTGCACACGTGTGTGTCTGTCTGTCTGCATGTGTGTGTGTGTGTCTGTGTATCTGTGTGTGTCTGTGTGTGTGCGCGTGTGTGTGTGTCTGTGTATCTGTGTGTGTGTGTGTGTGTGTCTGTCTGCGTGTATGTGTGTGTGCGCGTGCGTGTGTCTGTGTATGTGTTTGTGTGTGTCTGTGTATCTGTGTCTGTGTATCTGTGTGTGTGTCTGTCTGTCTGTCTGTGTATCTGTGTGTGTGAGTGTGTGCCTGTGTGTGTTCATGCTCATGAGCATGTGCTGTGCTCGGATCCACAGGGATTGGGAAGGGATGACGGTTTATCCCGATGATGCACTGTCTGCTCTCCTTGTCCTTGTCCAATTATGGCCACATGCACTGACTTCCTGCTAATTGCCGTTATTGTTAGACTTTATTTATTTTTTCGTCTTACTTACTGAGACAAAAATGTGGGGTAATGATGGTGCGTTTGGGTTAAACATTAGAATGAATGTTAACTGTAATTTTCCCAAGCCAAAACACTGTCATCATCACGCAAATATTTGTCCTTCCCTTGGGCGGGGGAGTGGGAATAGGGAGCGGGGGCTTAGGGGGGCATGATTGTAATCAGATGATTTCCTCATGCTGGTAGCCCAAACCTGAGCTTGCATGTTACAGGGCCACTGGCATCACACTGCATCACACTTCTGTCATGTCGTATCATGCTGTGTCACACTGCAGCACGCCGTGTCATGCCATATTACGCCACGCCATGCGTCACACCATGTTCTGCTGCGTCACACAGTGTCATGCCGTGTTATGCTGCGTCACACAGTGTCACGCTGTATTATGCTGTATCACACTGTATTACACTGTGTCACACTGTCACTCTTTGTCTTGCTGCGTTACACCACATTATGCTGCATCATACTGTATTATGCTATGTCACCCTATATTATGTGGTGTCACTGTGTTACACTGCGTCTCACTGCGTTATGCTGCATCATGCTCTGTTATGTGGGTCACCCTCTCCCCCCTGTTTATTTTCTTATTAACTGAGGAGATTGGGAGTCATAAAAAGAGAGCAGAAGTAAAAGAATCACGGGGGGGCTGTGTTTGCAGGGGGCTGGCTGACCCGGCGGCGTGGCTCCATGGTGCCGTCCGTTTTGTATAGCTGACCCCTCAGAAATCCTCACACCCATGTGTGTGCCCATGGCACACCCGTATCCTCTTGGCCTTGGTCCCAGACTAGGTGGCCCAGTGACTAGTGGTAGTTAATCCGTGATCCATACAAACCCCCCCTCGCCCCCCCCATGATTCGGCAAGCATGTGAACCACAGGTTAATGGGAAAGTTTAACCGTTACAATGTGAAATACAGTTTTGCTGCTGCTGTTACATTTTAATTAATATTTCCCTAAATCTCAATGCTACAATAGTTCATGTCCCAAGTGTAGCACATGGGGGAATTTTAGATTTTCGGTGGGGATACAAAAATAAAAAATAAACTCTGTGGATTCGATAGCATTACCCATGGCATTTTTAGTGGAATCCGCTTCCCTCTTGTCCTTGACAAACGCGGTTTGTGTGTCTAATTACAAAACAAGACAGAAAAAGATAATGGATGTTCTCTATGGATTTCCGTACGATGCAGAGATGCAGTGAAAAGATCCGGACAGAGTGACTGTGTGAATGGGACCCCTCATTTAGCTGATCACTCTGGCCTTCTCTTAGATCCCCTCATTTAGCTGATCACTCTGGCCTTCTCTTAGATCCCCTCATTTAGCTGATCACTCTGGCCTTCTCTTAGATCCCCCCCTCCCCAGCCTGGCCTGATGAGCACTTCCCTGTACTGTGTCAGTAATCTTACTCTGTTACACTGTTTCACTGTTGTCTTTTAAACTTTGTGGACTTAGGGGAAACTTATGATGATGCTGGAACTGAGGTCGCAAAGGTCAAATCCTCAGAACTTCATACGTGTCTGAAGTTTACCACAGGCACTGAACAGGAATGACAGGAAGGGTCAGTGCCCACCCCATCCCCCCCCTGTGTCTTATTATCTAGATCTCGAATGTTTATTTTATGTTTTTATCAGTCACTGAAAACAATCCACTTTTTACTTCAACAATCCATTTAATTTCAGCTGTGTTTGTTGTGTAAAACCAGTTTCTGTACAGCTGAAGTGTACACAGTACTCCAGTGTGCGTGTGCAGAGAGAGCATAATACAAGTCTTTCATCATAAAGAAGGCAGAGTTACTAAAGGCAGCAAGCTGGTGAAGAGGCCCTTTCTGATAGGTGTCCGCACCACGGCAGGCAGGGCTTCAGGCCGCATCGAGGTGAGCATGTTTCCTCTTTGTGAAGCTGTGTTCTCTGTCACCAGGGCCGAGTCGAGGTGGAGGCTGGCAATGAAAACATGAAGTTTGAAACAGGCCCCTTCTCTTTTTATGGAGTCATGGCTCTGAGCACTCCAGCTTTGGGTGAGTCTGTTCGTCTGCGCCCCCCCCCCTCCTAAAAAGAAAAACACGTCCCTCCTGAAATGGCTCCCAAACACGTCCCTCCTGAAACGGCTCCCAGAGCCGCACCAACCTACATGGCCATAGTAACCTCAGGCTCTGAAGTCTATTTATGTATGTGTATGAGTGTATGGGTTTGTGCACTGCCTGGCTGGGCAGAGCTTTGATTTCAGTAGGCAGGACGTGAGAAGATTCAGTTCTGGTATCTGCAGGAATCTGCCGCAGACCCACTCACACCCATCCTGGGCCAGAGGCACTGAATCAGGGCAGATTCAAGGCCCGGATCCCTGCACCGTCACCCCTCTAATTTTCTTTTTTGGGAAGTTATTGTGCTTCACTGCTGACATCTAGTGGCTAGACCTCAGTATAGACTTTAAATTCCAATATTGTTGTGGCTGTCAGACTACTGCCCTATCCCCTTCTCCTTGTTGTGTGCACACACACACACACGCACACGCACGCACGCACGCGCACACACACACACACACACACAGGCACTTGACTCCCTAATTGTGTGTCATGTCTGGTTCCTCATGCTGGTTTGTGTCTGTCTGTGTTTAAGGTCGGACACGGGGTCTGCAGGGGGTCAGGTGCTGGTTGGGGAGCGCTTACTGTATGATATTCTCCTCCTGTGATCTGAATTTCTCTCACTTTTACTCGCACCATTCTTCACCGCACTCTTTCTCTCTCAGGTCACACACAGACAGAACACGGCCCTCTCTTCTTCCTCCTCCTCCTCTCTCTCTCCCCTACTGTTTTGTTCTGACGACTTGCTCTTGCTTACCTTTCTTTCCTCTAACTGACCTCATGAGCACGTCTGTGTGAGTGACCTCATCCTATTTCAGCACGTCTGTGTGAGTGACCTCATCCTATTTCAGCACGTCTGTGTGAGTGACCTCATCCTATTTCAGCACGTCTGTGTAAGTGACCTCATCCTATTTCAGCACGTCTGTGTGAGTGACCTCATCCTATTTCAGCACGTCTGTGTGAGTGCGTGATGCTGCCTTGGCTCTTGCAGCTGCCTGTTTGTATGTTTACTCCGCTAAACTCCGCAGCCGTTTCACCCACCCATGGAGCTCCTTTATCCTCAATCCTCCACGTGAATCCTGCCCCCCTTTTCCTCAAAAGGGGAATCTTTGTCAGCTTTTTGTCTGCTTGTTTGTTTATCGGTCTTGTTTGTCTGTTGGTTTGCTCATCTGCCTTTTTGTTTATCTTCCTGTTTGTTTCATTGTTTATTCTTTGTTTGCTTTTGTTTGTTTAATTTGTTTGCTTGTTTGTTATTCAAGTCAATCACTTCTCATTAGAGACAACACAACGTTTTTTTTTTTAAGAGGGTTGTAAGTTTATTTTTTATTATTTGTTCGCAATATGTATGGATACATTAAAAAAAAATTTGAATTGTTTTTTTTAGAATTGATAAAGTTAATTTATTTAATAAATCTGTGTGGATGTTAAGGAAGTGAGAATGAATGTGATGCAGATGGTGAAACCAGTAGAAATGCTGGTCTTGGTGTGCACGTGTGCGTGGGTGTGCACATGTGCGTGCGTGCGTGTGTACACATGTGGATGGTTTAGGTGAACCTGTTTAAATCGGTGCTTGGCTCTTTCCTCCCCTCTTTTTCTCTCCCCTTTGCTCCCTTATCCCTCGTTCAGTCCTCTCAGCCCTTTCAGATTTCTCTCTCTCTCTCTCTCTCTCTATCTATCTATCTATCTCCATCTTCCTCCTCCCTTACCCCCTCACTCCTCCCCTATCCTGACTATTCCCCTTTTGATCTTCCTCCTCCCCCTCCCCTCTCCCTCTCTCTCCCTCTCCCCCTCTCAGTGGCATCGCTCCATCCTCGTCACCTCTCTTTAAAGAGGTATTCTCTGTTCTCTCGGTTTCCAGGTAAATTCCGGCATGTCTGGGGCCCAGGGACCCTAACTGGGGTTGGGAGGGCAGTAGCAGTAGCTAACCTTCATTAGAGATTAGAGGGTAGAGTGACAGCTGCCTGTCTCCTGCCCGGCTTCCAAAGAGCCCCGATCCAGCACACTGTTCTCTGCAAGGGAGGCCTTCATGTGAAAACATATTGGGGGGGGGGGGGGGTGGAATCTTCTGGATCTGGGCTCAGGCAACCAACAGGCACTGCTGCTGAATGGGTGAACTGGTCTAACTGTAGGAGGCGTTCTGTCTCATAGCATTATCACCCTTTAGCATTGTGTAATCAAACTGACAGTACTAACTCCCACCCTGTCCTAAGCAGGCCCATCCCCTCCTCTGGGAACTCCGCCCTCTCTGGATGAGTCCCTCCCCTGGGAGCCACGCCCAGTCCCAGGCAGGCCCGCCCCCTGCTCTGGGAACCTTGTCGTGAGGGCCCCCCTCCGCTCAGGTCTCTGCCCTTCCCTGTACAGGTCTGGTTGGAGCTCCACCCACTCCTACACAGGCCTGCCCCTTCCTGAGTCAGCTTCCTCGCCCAGGCAGAAGGTCACCCTAAGGCATCTGGGGGGGGAGGGGGGGAATCATTGCTGCTTTCACCTTATTGAGGGTGTCTGCCTGACACGTCAGTCCCGGACTGCTCACACAAGCACTGCATCTCCCTGGTAACAGGTCACAGACCGATATGATCTGGAGATGTATTTGCATTTTGTCGTGTTTAGCGCGCTCTATCTGCCCCTTTCTGCCCCCCCCTTCTTGTATCTTCTCAATCTCTGGCTCTATCTTATCAGTAGTTATTAATTTGAAAATATTTCCCACACTAGCTGTTCCGCGTGTTCCAGCACTGGTGATCTTCTCCCTCTCGCCCCCTTGTGACGGTGTCTCCATGTGTTTCAGAGTTTCGCTCTCCCTCCCACCTCAGCGGCCTCAATCGCTCCGCCTCCCTCAGCTGCACAGATCGCTCCGAGTCACAGTCGGTCAGCGGCAGCAACAACCAGCTGAACTGCATCTCCTCGCCGCAGTACATCCCCGACTTCAACGTGCGAGCGCTGACCGACCTGCAGTTTGTCAAGGTGAAGCTCTATCCTCCTCCTCTCCTTCATTTCTCTTGCTTACCATGAGGATCTCCTGCTCTCATCTTTTGCTCTCCTGTGAGGGTCTGCTCTCCTCTCTCCTCCTCTCCTTCTCTGCAGCTTTCCTCCTCTGCCCCTCTTTTGCCCTCCTGTAAGAGTGTGATCTCCTACTCTCCTCCTCAGCTTCTCTCCTGCTTCTCTTCAGCTCCCCTCCCCCCTCCTCTGCAATTCCCCATCCACATCCTGCTTCACCTGTCTGTCTGACAGTTGTCCTGTGGGACCTGATCGTTGCCCCCCGGGATGTCCTGATGCCCTGCCTGTTCTCCATTTGCCCTGTGTGTCAGGTGACCCGCTGTCAGTACCAGAATGGATTGATGACCTCGCGTCTGGACAGCACCCCCCAGTCCCCCGAGAGCTGCCACACACGACTGGAGCCAATCGCGGCCACACTGCAGGATAGCTCCGATGGCGGGCCGGACGAGACCACGTCACTGCTGAACGAGCAGAACTGCCAGCCCTGCCGGCAAGGCAACCTCAGCCCTCACGGCGAAAATAACATTTGAGTAGTGTCACGCACGTGTGCACCAGTGGGCATGCAGGCG